TTGTTGGACCCGTGTAAGCTTTTGCTAGAGGGGGGGGGGCGTCCGAAGGGGGTATGTCGAGGGGGGTTCTTTTCTGGTTTCTTGGGAAAGTCATTGACGCTGCAGGCAAGAGGGGGGAATGCAACCGAATCATTTTTCCTTTAAAAAATGACACCCCCCCCTCAAATGACCAGGGGCGAGGGAGGGGAGGGGGTTATTTCTGGACCCTTGAAAAATTAATTGAAAGGTGCATGTAGGAAGGGAAGCCATGCAAATGGATCCTTTCTAGCTAGAATATCGATGTCCCCCGGCCTTGAGGGTTACACAATCAATCCTATGTTCGTACCCGAGGCAGCTTAATTATGCTCAATTAAAGGTAATGCTATTGCACGTACCAAATGTACAGTGTATCACGTCCCACCAAACCTACAGAATTATGTTTTACAACTCCCTGGTTGAAAAAACACCGGTTCTTAAGGACTGAACGCTAGGCTATATAATCTACAACCTAGTTTCTAGACAAAGAGCCTTCCGCTTGTCCGACCTGTAGGTCAACGGCCGATGGGGCGTTCAGATTGCGCTCTCCGGGGGCGAACCGATAGATCGCTGACCTTTATACCCGCTAGACAGAAAACGAAATGACACCCGTCCGTATTTAGACTACAGGTCGCCACAGGTAGGAGGGAGAACAATACCAGGCAGTTGCCCCGCAGCTCTGGGATAGTTTGTGCTGCATGCACGTTCACATAAGGCCGCAAATTTGCAAGTGCTGCCACCAAGCTACACCAAACGTTAGGGCGTCTTCAGCTACAATACAGGCTACGGTAAGCACTAGTCTGTGTGTCTGTCATTGTAGTACGTGCTTCATATACTCTGTGGTAACTACTATCCTGTGATTTCTAGGTTGAAGTACCCATTTTCTGCTGCACACAAGTCATGAAGGTGCTACATGTACGTAACTCCGCAGTATAATAGATCTACAAGTAGCTATTAGTAGCTATAGAACGCCATGGCATGATTTTAAAACGCACGTACACCACACCATGAAGCAAGTTCGTCACTGGTGCTTGTCTAGTCCTTGCGTTAATCGTTCAGTGCAGTGACTTGCAAAGGTTACCATGTCTTCTTATCCTTTTTCGTAGCCTCCAGTACCTCAGTGTGTTTGTGTACCAGATTTAAAATGTAGCGTGTGTGTTTGTCCTAGGATCTAGGTTGCTCAGACATACATTTTAGTTAGATATATGCGCTACAGTATGCACGTAGCCACGAAATTTACCGTTTGCTTTTTCTATCTCCTTGCTGTAACTAATCTACAGTATTTTACTCTTCAGTGTATTAAGAGTGTATTTAGTAAACGGATGAGCTATATATAAACCAGGCTGCTGCCAAGCATTGGAATCTGCATTGTCCACTGACGTCGTAGATAGCAAGGTTATGCATGGGAGATTTCGTTGCGTCCCTGGCGAAATACAAATGGAGTTGGGTCGTTATTTGCTATTCAGCTCTTAAGGGGTATCCCCTGTGTGACTCATCATGTATTATGGTGCGGTTACTCGCTTCAGTTACCTGTGTGACTGGGTGGCTCTTTTTAACTTTGAATGAGTCACGATGGGGCTTTGGTCCGAAAGCTCAACTTGTTGAGGCGGCAGTTTTACATCCTGAAAAATTGTATCGGATGCTTTTTTAAAGCGTAAAAGGGGCCTGTATGGGGAGGGGTGACCTACTTTTGAGTTGATATTCTGCATAAATATGGCTAACACTTTGCCCTAAATTCTTATTCTTGCACTCGAAATTCCCGATAACGCATTGAGTGCGATAAAGCCAGCTGCTTCCTAATTGTGTATATTTAAAACGGCTTCGGTACGCCTTGTATAATAGAAGCATTCATTCTCTACTTGTGTTTTATCTAAGCACACTAGGTCACCATATCCAGCTCGTTACGTGTATTGCGTTTTTTTAGACGCGCAGACTAGTAATGATGCCTCGAGGTCTTATGATTTGTAATATCTAGGTGAGAGGTTAAGTTCCGATTAAATGATACATTACCGATTTTTAACGATATACATCAGGCTACGTGACGTTTGCACGTGCGTACAATGTCGTGCCGTCCCGCGATGTTTACCGAACATTGTGCTTAATCATTGGGCGTGACGACCGTCCGGTTGTCGAGCCAAATCCTTGCCCTGCCACATACGTGACAGGTCAGGTGTTTAGGACTAGGGTTAAGAGTTAGGGTTAGGGTTGGGATCATTGTTTAGGGATATGTTTAGACCTACGATTGGGGTTAGGCCAGTAGGCTAGGTTTAGTCTTTCACATCACGACCAATTAACCCAAAGTATATTGGAAACCCCCGAGTAGTGAAGTCATGTATTTGGCAGGATCATGTATTTGGCTTGACACCGGAAAATAGACTCGTCACCCACTAACACGAACCTAATGACCTATAGGTCAAACCCCAATAGGTCTTTTAACTTAGTATATTTTGTGTGCAGCCTGAGATTCGCCATTGCGTTTTCACGAGAGAGGCCGCGAAGAGACCAGCATGGCAGCCGCCCAGCTGTCCGAGATCAAAGCTGATCTGACGTGCCCCATCTGTACCAACGTGCTGAGGGAGCCCAAAGCCCTGCCCTGTCTGCATACCTACTGCCGCTCGTGTCTGCTGCAGCTCGAGGCTAACGCCTCACAGACCGGGCGGTTTCCATGTCCGGAGTGCAGGTAAGAATATAACCTCCACTAAGCCTTCCTAGCCTCCTTCGCAGACTTCTGGTGCAATGGCGTTAATTTTTTTCGGGGAGCGACCCGAGTTATGCCACGGGGACGGTTTTGCCACCGAGGGACTTTGCCGGGGAGAGACGGTTTCCCTCGGCGGTAAAACAGTCCCCGTGGCATAACTCACGTCGCTCCCCCCAAAAAATTAACGCCACCGCATCAGAAGTCTGCGAAGGAGGTTAAGGCCTTCCTACGGGGGCACGGCAAAGAAGGTAATAATTGACCAGAAGAATCAGCCCAAGGTAAAGCTAAGTTAAGCATTTTCCTGTGCTGCCGGTCAACTTCTTTGGCAGCTTTTTGCTTGGAAAGACACACTCCCCTGGCAAACTATCATGATCCCTATTAGCCAGTGATGTCAGTCTGCACTACGTACAGACTAATTAGAGCAGTGTCCAAGCAGATGTAGTAGGGGAAGGTTTTACTAGTGTTTAGGAGACATTCTGTACGTCTTCATATAAGTGTCTGTTATAGGTGTATTCTTGGGTGAATGAACCCTAGCTCCTTTCCACATTCAAGCACACTGAACATTGGAAACATCTCCTTCTAATGACTTCTACGCATTTTCAATATCTTTTGTACATTAGAAATCTCAGGATGCATTACAGGCCTAGTTTTATTATATAGTATTCAGTCCAATGCAAGTTAAGAAGGTGACCATATTTGAGTCACACATCGTCATCACGCTCACGCCACCCAACCAGCAATCAAAAAGCTTCTTGTTCCCATTTCACTATACGATAGGCAAATGGTGATCCTTCCGGAGCGAGGTGTCCAGGGTCTGCCTACAAACTTCATGGTGGCGAACGTTCTGGAAAAACTCCGTCGGGGCGAGCAGCGACGCCACCCGGTGGAAGACGGCGTCTGCGCCCGGCATAGAAACCTCGCGCAGGCACTGATGCTCACAGGGCAACAGATATCACGGAACAGCTACGGGAACATCGCTGCTTTATTAGAAGGCCATCCACAGGTATGCTGTTCATGATGTTAAAATAGTGTTAGCACTTTTGATATGCTGTAAAGTAATAACTGTAGAATTGTCGAAACAGCACAATGTACGCACACGCCCCAAGATGCCCCTTTACATTACAATACCTGTTTCCTGTGACAACTGCTACTCCCCTACCAAATATCACACATTATTGAGTTCTACAAACAATATTTGCATATTATTAAACAACCTGCTGCAGTACCGCTACTTAATGCCGGGTCAACCCTTTTCTAACAAGAATATCATTAAGATTCATTCACAGCTTCTTGAGACATGTTGTTGAGATTTATACAGGCCCACACCATGAAACCTCCGCCATTGCCAAACAGAAATATAGCACATCGTAGATTACAAAACTAGCAGTTCTCTTCGATTAATCCTTATGATGAACCGCTCTCAAGATCGGAATGTGATTCATGTACAGGTCGCCCCAGAAGCAGCACTTCCAAACGTGACTATGCCTGCTGTAGGCAGAAGACATCAGACGATTCAGCAGCGGCTGATTCTGCTGCTACACGCCCAGAGGTGCCAGACAAGCGATCAGCTCAGTAAGAAAAGCGGAGAGGCCCCCGTGTGCCAGCTGGCTACCTGCCGAGCCATGAGAGACACCCTGGACCACATCGCCACCTGTCGGGCTGGTGTGAACTGCAGCGGTAAGGTTTGTGTGTGTGTGTGTGTGTGTGTGTGTGTGTGTGTGTGTGTGTGTGTGTGTGCTTGCTTGTGTGTGTGCTTGCTTGTGTGTGTGTGTGTGTGTGTGTGTGTGTGTGTGTGTGTGTGTGTGTGTGTGTGTGTGTGTGTGTGTGTGTGTGGATGTGGTTGGGTTTGTGTGTGTGCGTGGTGTCTGCTAGTTGTCTGTGCCAGCCTTTTATTGTGGCAAACTCAGTACCAGCCTCTAAACAAATCGTTTCTCTCTATTTCGACTCCAGTTGCACACTGTACCTCATCCAAACAAATCCTGGCGCACTGGAGGAACTGCAGCAATCTGTACTGCCCGGTCTGCCTGCCACTCAAAACTGTCACCAAAAGGGAAGAGGTGGATGCCGGGATAGGTAATTACATGTATATCCCGTCTGCACATATATGAGTACTATCTGTTGTTATAATTCATTTCATTTCCATTTAGTTACTCATGTTGGAAATTTCCATTGATACATCATCATCATCTATATATCAGGCTGTATATAGAACATAAAAAGGATAGACCCCGGCACATTCGTCGTACGGTTGTGAAACGAAGGCATTCCTGAAATACCTTCGATAGGATTTATGTACTTAAAAGAAGATGGATCTTTTATATTTTTTTGGTATGTGGAGTTAAGTATTGGTTATGGACACCTAGCGTCTTTCTTCAGTATTGCATCAGAACCTTCTTCGGATTCTTGATGGATAGATAGTAAGATGGATAGATTTTTAATGCAGCTTTCAAGTACTTAACCCTAGTATGGGGAATACATCATTAAAGTATTTCATTTTTAAACGTAGTTTTCTTAGTTCTGCAACTATATATTCTACTGCGCCGGTGTTTCCAAGACATCTCTGTTATGCATCTTCATCAGGTCAAACTGAACTCATAAAAGTAATGATTGTTTGAACGGGTTTTTCCAGACTCCATGCGGCACAGACTGATCCGGCGCCAGCTGACCACGCTGCTTCACGCGCAGACGTGTCGGGAGCGGGGACAGAGCGGTGATGTCACCGCCTGCCGGCTGCGCGGCTGTGGGACCATCAGGAACGTGCTCACACACATGGACAAGTGCCGGGAAGGGACCAACTGCCAGGGTAAGATTTACTTCTAAAGCTGTATAGGAAGGTTTTAATTAAACAACCTTTCGCTGACCGAGCTGACGTTTCGCTGACCGACTGAACAGTGAATTTGTACATTTCTGTTAGAGTTTATTCCAAATCGCGGGTGATTGTTGTCATTGTTTAGATTTGATTCAAATCTATCATTAATAGTTGTAATGTATGTTTTATTATATTTCACAAACATTTAGAACTTGTTCTTTACTTTTTAAACGATTACTGTAAATTACAAAACATTCGAAACATTTTTGAGCGGCCTATGATATTTCGAATCATTTTTTTTCGAACCATTTTTTTATTATTTTTTGTAAATGACGAAGTAATTTGCACATTCCCACGAAGTGGTCTGTAATCCAAAAATTGTATCAAATTTATTACTGATTTGATTTTGTTACCGCTTACTTCATTATTATCATTATCATTACCATTATTATTATTTATTGTATCTTATTGTTTGTATGTGTAAGCATGTGCTCTACTTGATTTATATGTACATGTATGTATGACGCAGGGCCCCACTGTGAAGCAGTGTTAACCACTGAGCTGAGCAATCCAGGTAAAAATGGCAGAAAAAAAAATGAAAAATAAAATGTCCCCATACCATTCTGTTGTTGTTTTCCCTTCAGTTACGTACTGTGCGTCCTCCACACAAATCCTTTCCCACTGGAAAAGTTGCCGAAGACACCGATGCCCTGTCTGTCAACCTCTCCGTGACCGAACGAAGGGAAAGACTTTCCATGGACCTGAAGGTACATTTCCCATTCTTAACTCTTCGTTTCGAATTGCAAATTTTCGAAATCATTATATGACTAGATCCTCCTATAATTTTATTCAACATTTTCTTAAATCTAGATCAGATTTCAATACCTTGGTGATTTGCTTCTTTGGATATTTGCATATTTTTGCCATTTATCCGAATTTGACATTTTGAACACGTGTGAAGTCAACACCATTTGGACTGCTATACCTGCTGGGTGGATTGTTCATGAATAGTGTTCATCTCAATTTTTTTCGTTACAGTTACAGTTACAGGTCCTTCCCACAAGTGACGATGCTGTTGGTGCGAAGCCCTGAATAACTTGAAAAGAATATTTATCTATTTATTGAACACACCACAAAAAAAAAAAAAAAAAAATTACGGGCGTAGTATTGTAATACCGATGGTTCAATATAGAAATTATTAAGTTAGCAATATTTAGTACTTATTTACAGTATATAATCAGGTTCGTGTGAATATTTACCTATTTACAGTATTCTGAAAGTGTCGTAACGTTATTGTTGATGTAGGTTTAGATAAAGTCGGTAGGAGGCACACCTTAATGATGACAGGTCAGTTGACCTTTTACCATTTGTATCTTCGTTCATAGGCCCATATGTACATGATCCACAAAATGTTGGTACCCCATACTTTGAAATAAATCCAGCAATAAATGATTATCATGCGTGTGTCTTTTTCCACAAGAAAGAACCACATTGTGAACAATGGACATGCAGTACTCAGTGAACCGCCTGGTGTTTATGTCCATCAGCACTAGTCTGGATAATTGCATATGACAGGCTCCGCCCAGCCACCAGTCAAAGGTAACAGAGGAATGCCAAGGCCTTGGTAATACCTACATACACAAACATGCCTCCACAATTAACTACCTTGTTAACAATGGGCATACAGTGCTCAAAGAACGGCTTTGGGGCATATATTTCTCGAAAACGCATCACACCGCAGCGAAACACAACGAATGGGGAACTACCACCGCAAGGCAAAAAAAAATTCAAGGGTCCATGGCCTGTTTAAGACATATCAAACTATTTGAAAATATTGATGGAAAAATATACCAGCAGGACAAGGGTTTTAAAACGTTTGTAGTATCTAGTTTCTATAGTTGACCTACGAACATCCGTTGTACTGCTATACGAACGGGCAAACTTTTGACCACTATACAGTAGAAAATCGATCCAAAAAAGGCCCATATACGTATTCCACAAAATATCGGTACCCCATATTGTACTAACATTAATTGTACTACTTTGACTTGAAAATTATGCATGCATGTATACGTCAAGCAATATAACCAATGTGTGTTGTTTGCTGATGAATATAATCACTAATAAAGTAGTGAAAATACAACATATGTGTTGAATATTTTCTTGCGTACTACAAAGACTGCGTACATGTTTCATTGCGACAGGTGAGTTTGCATGTTTTGTTGGACGTTACATACTCGGTTAACCCAGCACACACTCTAGGTAGGTTTGCAAGGTTATATGCCGACTACTCTTCATAACATCAAAAGCTGAGTCTTGGATTGTTTACAGCAACAAAGAATAGACCATCCCAAAATATGTCCTTGGTTTGGAATGATTACAAACCATCAAATGGGTGGTGCTAAGTGTTGGTTAATGGCGAATGGCCCTGAAAGGACAAAAAAACACGGCTTTTTACGAACTCTGTGACACATACATAATAGATGAGGCTGTTCCTATGTGGACAAAACAGCAATATTTGAACACAATTTCCTAATGTTTCCTCATTTTTATGTGTACAGGAAAACTAGTAAGTCCTGCATTCAATGTCAGAAACACAGCAGTATAACGTATTCAGTTGACGTACATTTTCTATAATGTTGTGAGTTTTCAAACCATTTTTGTGACCTTCGCATCAAGCAGATCATGCGGAAGAACTCGCTTTGTTGTGGTAACCGTGCTCCTGGGCGTACCAGGTACACCATAGCATATCTGCGCAGCAAAATACGTGTCAGTACAAGAACTGCTACTCGGGGAGCATGGCGGACCCTACATAGACTGAGGAAGCACACATTGTGCACAATTTAGCACAAGAAATGGGCCTCGTCAAGTTTATTTCCGTTGGGACAGTGTTCATATTTCTGACGCTAATATCAGATGTATTTCTGGTATCCGATTTCGATTCATTTACAGACATCAGTGTCAATCAAGGTAGGTTACCTTTCTTTGTTGGCCTCATCGGCAACTGTCAAGCCAGAACTTTTTGCTTAAAACGTCTAATTTTCTTGAATACATTTTGGAGTTATATCTTATCCGTTATTTTTATTACGATATATCCAGAACGTGGGGTTGTGTGGCGTAATGAGAGAGCATTCGGCTCAGAACTAAGGGGTCCCGGGTTCGAATCCTGCCGAGTCACCAACCTTGTGCCCTTGAGAAAGGCGCTTTACACGACTTTTCTCGTTTCGCTCAGGTGAAAATGGGCATGCCAGAATGATCATTATCATGATCGTGGGAAAAAAACAACTAAACGAACCAGGATTAGTTAGAAATTACAATTAAACGTGACATTTTTTAAATCTAAATCATTTCGGAGAGTATGCATGTGGTCAGTGACAGAAATGTATGCTGTGTAGAAGACTTTGACTTTGACTTTATTGCTTTGATACAAGCCGGATATAACATTTAGCTTATTTGAATGTTCTTTTTCTTAACCTAATCACAGATCCCACGTATTACCGATACCAGTCAAATTATAATTATATTTTCTTCTTCTTCTTTTCCGTTGTCCCATTTTTCAGTGATATTTGTCCAGTTGTGTTTTGGTACATGTGTACGTGCATTTCTGTATGACGGTATCCACCAGAGTTAATTTGCAACATTTCTTATTTCAAAACTTATTTCAGACACCTGTTGGGAAAAATTCACACATCCACGGCTCAAGCTGCTTCAAACTCATGCAGACCCCAGTAACGTACCAAGATGCCGAGGCTACGTGCGAAAATAGGGGAGGTCAGCTTGCTATGGCGAAAGACGAGAGCACCAATAATTTCCTAGTAACGCTGATACATGGTAGCGAAAAAGATGTGTGGTTCGGCCTTAGCACCCAGACCTCCATGGACTGGACGTGGAGTGATGGCACCAAGCAGACAGATTCTAGCTTTCAAGCCTGGGCTCAAGATGAACCAAACGAGATAAACAGAGATATCAACTGCGCTCGGCTCAGTGTGCTTGCTGCAGATACCGGTACGAATGTGTGGAAGGACATGGTTTGCGACAACGAATACTTCTTTATTTGCCAGAAAGGTAACGCTGTATATACTTCTTATTATTCCATGTTTCTTGTTCAATTGCATATAAATGAAGCCTCTATCACACATGGCCACCCATGACCTGGATTTCTTCTAGTCTGTATCTGTATAGCCAGTATATAAACCTTCCGAGGCGTAACGCACCAGCTTCGCAGGCACGCGGCGCGGCGGCAGCTACAGTGTAGCTATTTTTTTAACACCTCATTTCTTGGTTGATAATTCTGATATTTGAAAGCATGATCGATGTCCCCTTTAAACGGTACGTCGTCTGTGCCAGCCAACAATGTTGAGAAATAGAATGTTATATTCTTGTAGATATTAGGTGCCATCATTTTAAAATGACAGGGAATATTGTGGATTCGAGATTACTTCCAACCCAGTGCTGACATCACTCGGGTTATGGTCGGGAGCAAACTTATCCCCAATCCTACTCTCCATGCAGTGGTTGGTGGGGAATATGGTTTCCTTTCTATGCCCCGTTTTTGGTGGTGGGGGTAGCAACAGAAAAAAAAATCGGGAATATATGGAAAGGTAACAATCTTCTCTATCAACCCAATCAGACTGAGTACGTACTCAATCCTTCCTTATACAGCCAGGACTACTGAAGACAGTAAAACAACATAAAATGGTCTGAGTTACCTGAGACGACCCATAATTTGTTCACGTCGGTTGTGTACTATCTAATGTGTATTCACCGTGCCGGTATTAACATGCAATATGCTAAGTAAGAAATAATTGCAGGCGCTCTTTTGTATTCCTTTATGGTATACTGGAGAGCAATGGGTGAAACACGGTGTAAACGATGTAATAGCAGTACGCATCATAAACATGAAAGGTTCTTCAAAAGAGGGCATAAATTTCCTCTTTGGCGCCAACAATATATGTGGACTATAGTGTTCCATTAGTGGCTGAGGCAACTTTTGCCGGATCAAGGCTTCTAAAGGCTCTTTATTTGTGGCTTGTCATGCATGAAGAAACACAACACAGGATTTTCTGGTCATATTCTGATCTATGAGGTAAAAATTATCATCAAGGGGAAATCCTAAGAATATACAAAGCTAGATACCTCAATAAACTGTCACCTCTGTGCACAGCTATACAATGTGCTATGCTGACATCTCCTGCAAACGGTGCCGTGAGAAATTATCTTTGTTTTCACAGACGCTGGTGGGTTCGCCATAAGGGCCCAATCTTACGCAAAGGCCGATCCCGACTTTTGGAACCAAGAGACGTATATCATCAGTAATGGACAGATCAGCAGCCTTGGATGTGTGTACTGAAGTCCTTTTCTGTGGGATTCTTGCATGCGCTAAATCTTGACGTCACGCTTACATGAAACGTCATTCCTGTTTGCTTTCTGACAACTTGCTGAAAGAAGGAAAATTTTTAAGTATAAACATTACTTTTATTAGACATTAACATAGATCTTAATTCGATTTTCACAATAGATTCAAGTAGCAACTTCTAGTAGATATTGACATGTAACAATCATACCATTGTACATAAAAGGGCAATGTTAAAAAAATAGAAAATTTTAGCAATGATTATAAAAGCACATGCTTTCCCATACTACATTTGCATATAGTCATTTACGAAGTAAGCTCAAGGAATGATTATTTTGTTTAAAATTCTCTCAATTTTTTAAGATATGCGAGGGCATCATGTCTACATTTTGAGTGAGATGACGGGGGAGTTACTAGACAGCGTTGCTTTCGACACTTACCAAGACGTCGAAGCAGCACAACAACTGACATCTTTTCTAGAAGGGATAGCAGAGGTAATGTGTTGATTTACTGAGAACGAAATTACTCATAGCTTAAAATGTGCTTGTTGCAATACTGTAGGATTTTCCCGCAACTTTCTTTATTAGTTAGCAGCAACGTATCTTTGAAATATAAGGAGCGCAGTAGGCGATACGGTCGCAGTCTTTTGTTCCTGCCTATCTGCCTATATGCACAGGCCAGGTACTGGCCCCTTGCTCCCCTCCGTCAGGTACTTCCAGCCAGCTCTATCAAGGGCAATAGCCTCTGCTTCTCTTAGGGTAAGCCCTGTGTCACTCTGGATCTGACACCTCTTGGGTGGTCTTCCCCGAGGTCTAGGTCTAGGTCTAGGTCTAGGTCTATGTCTGGGTCTGGGTCTGGGTCTGGGTCTAGGTCTAGGTCTAGGTCTGGGTCTAGGTCTGGGTCTTTTGTTCCGCCATGTTGCATTTGTTGTGAATTCTTATCAGCCATTATCTTTGTTACAGGGACGGATCATAGTTATCGCTGTTTCTGACAGTGGTAATACCAACATGGACAACGAACCTGATCTATCGCCATACGGATCTACAATAACTCGATTAGGTGCCCTTGTTAACCCTTGTTATACGTTTTATTTAAAGAGACGGCATGCAGAATTTTACATACTACTCAAATCATAATTTTACGTCTCTGTTATATAGATCCTCATGACCTAGTGGCGAATTAAATAAGTGAGGAATATTGTTGCTCCTTAAACTTCACAATATCTGTTTTGTTTCCGATCCAATAGCTACAAATTACATAATCTAAAATTGACACATGCTGTTTTGCTTGATGCAATATCAAACTCAAACTTGTATTTGTTTTAGGTAATGATTAGTATAACCCTAACCTATTGTTATGGTCGTGCCTTCCGTTGATTGACTGTATTTTCCCAACTCCTGGTAGGTTGGAGAGAGTCATTTGCCATGATCACTCAGAAGGGAACGACATCTTTTTTTATGGAGGAGAAGAGTGCTGTAGGTGCAGGCCCCTCTGTTGTAGAGACCTTTGTACCAACAGGTAAGGGACATACATGGTGTCAGGGATTTCAACAACTTCTGTCCTTTCCTCGACTGTGATTAGACTACACCAAGCAAATTTATTGAATGACGTCCTCTGGAGACCGTAAATCTAATGCGAGAGCGCGATAAAAAGGCTGACAAAAAGGTGTCTAGATTTGAAATATGACAACAAATATTAGGACACAAATGGAATAAGAGAGCATAAAGTAACAACCAACAAGTCAACCACCAATAACCTGCGCCCGATATCATTCAGATGCCATCGGAGTCTGTCGTAGCCCACTCGGGATGGAGTCTGGTGTGATACCTGATGAGAGTATCACTGCGTCCTCGCACTGGGACGCCGACCTCGTGGCCAACAACGGCCGGTTAAATGCGGTTGATGGTTTCGGTGCGTGGGCAGCAGCTAACAGCGCCGTCGGGGAATTTTTGCAGGTGAGAATAAAATTATACATAAATTGACTGCTTTATTTAGTCTCTAAGCATCCACTTTCCACACCTTCGTTGACGCTGTACGAGATCAACTCCGAGTTCGTAATTTATCTTTATTTAATTAATAAGAATATTGTACCTTGCTCAATTGTTTTACAGGTTGATTTTGGACACATGAAGCGTGTTACGGGCACCATCGTACAGGGTCGCAACGTCGGGGTGGACCAGTGGGTGACGTCCTACAAACTACAGTACAGTAGAGAGGCGACGACTTGGGCGACATATACTGTCAACGATGGCTCAGAAAAGGTACCTTAGATACAAAGCTATAAGAAAAGTGAAAAGAAACATCAAATCTCAATACTGTCCTGCAAATTCTAGCTGTTGGTATTTCTGTCGGTATGTAAAAAGTCCAACAGTGTTATGCCATTTGCAGCAATGAATTCGAAGATCTATTATAAATGTATTATTACTTAAAGCAACTACTGTTTATATTTTAGGTGTTTCCAGGCAACACAGACAGAAGTACACCTGTAATGAACCTACTGGCTACCGACATTGATGCTCGTTATGTGCGTTTCGTGATTCAGACCTGGCATAATCACGTTAGCATGAGGGCGGAAATTCTAGGCTGTAACATCGACGGTAGGTTTCTGAGTAAATCATAACGAATTTATGAGTACGAGTGTCCCTTTATGCAGTGTTGTTTCTCGCCAATAAATGTTTGCATGATGGTTTATGTTTTGGCAATGTAACTTGCTGGTGTATGTTGTCGCATTCCTTAACCGAGTACTTAATACCGTGGCAATATAATCAAGCCGAAATGATTCAAATGCCACAAAATGTACAGCTTGAGAGAAATATCTCAATTCCATTTATATAGGACCAATTACGTTCCCTTGTTGAAGCACCCCATACCTTATAGCACCTATAACGTTATGTACTGCTGTACAGTGCTCCGCACTACTATATACGGTGCCATTAGCGAATTCAGCTATTTTACGGATAAACAGGTATTCACGATCACTTTCACGTGAAACATACATGAGAGAAGTCCACACATGTGAAGGTAGAATATGCCTGTTATTGTATAAATGTAGTCTTTCACATAAGGCCGTGGCAATATAATCAAGCCGAAATGCTTCAAATGCCACAAAATGTACAGTTTAAGAGTTGTAAACAATTGAAACACCTTAATTCCATTTATATATGACCACTTACGTACCTTGTTGAAGCATCCCATACCTTAGTAAATATTTTCTTTTGCACCCATAACGTTATGTACTACTGTACAGTGCTCTGCACTGTAAAACGGTGCCATTTTTAGCGAATTCAGCTCTTTTTCGGATAAACAGGTTTCACCTTCACGTGTAACCTAGGTCTAGATTAGACACTGCAACGACAAGCCGTGGTTACCTAACAAGCCTCAGACTATTATTAAGGGAAAATCTTAAGAATGTTCGAAACAAAATACCGAATTATTTTTACGTCTGGGCGCAGCTGTACAGTGTGTTATGCCGGCATCTCCTACAAATGGTGACATGAGTGGCTCCAACTATTACGGAGGGGTCCTCACCTTCACGTGTGACACGGGATATAATCTGGATAGCACTTCTAGTAGTTCTACAGTAACCTGTCAGGCTGATGGGACCTGGAGTGGAACTCCACCAACGTGCACGGGTAAGATGCAATTGAACTAATTATAATAAGCCAGTTCCATTTTTATAGAACCACTTGCTTACTCTTCTTAAAGCATCCCATATATGCTATATGTATGTAAGGTGAACTCATTTAGATGGTATGAACGTGTAATATGGTAAGTAAGAAGTAATTGCAGGTGTTCTTCTGTATTTCTTTATGGTAGACTGGAGAGCAACCTAACAGTTTACAGCTTGCGAGTTTTAAGAATTATAGCATGTCTCCCTTTTAAAGTGATCTATTTTACACCTGTATAACGTTACAGCTGTAGAATGTCCTGCTCTTACATCTCCTACAAACGGTGCATTGAGCGGACCCAGCTCCTATACGGTGAATGATGTGTTCACCTTCACATGTAACTCGGGATACAGTCTGGTTGGCAGTACTTTTACGTTGACCTGTCAGGATGACGGAACCTGGAGTGGAAGTCCACCGACATGTGAAGGTAGAATATACATAATTCGCATAATTATGTGAAATTGCTACAATTTTATAGTGGTAACTGCTGGGAATTTAACACTTGCCATAATCGGAAGTTCAGTGAAGGTGAACATCACTAAACACAATTCATTCAAATCAGGACGTCATTTCCATAATTTATGAGGAGAAGCTAGAATAGCCTTATTTCTGAAGATATTTTTTTCTTAAGATAATTCTGTCATTGGGTTGATAATATAACGAACTAATATAATATATAATATACTCTAATTGAGCACTTATAATATGCATAATGGGAGTGAAAACGCCAGTGGCAATATAATGAAGCCGTTATGATTGAGATACCACTCAGTATAAACCTTGACAGTTTTATAATTAAACTATAGCACTTCCGCTTTTCAATTGAAAACATGTTTAAAGAATCTTATCGTTAGTTCTAAGTTACGAATGACAGTTGTGACTTTGCTTACTGCCTGACACTTAACGCTAATTTGTGAGTTGCAGATCATAAATTTTTTGCACCGTTGTTTTAATTTTGCTTACTGCTTACTGAAGCATTCAATACCTAAGTTTGTACACAATGTACTTCATCTTGCACCTGTACAACGTTACAGCTCAGCAGTGCCCGGAACTGACCACCCTTATAAACGGAGCCGTGAGCGGGTCCAACACTTACGGTGAAGAGCTCACCTTCACATGTGATACGGGGTATGCTCTGGTTGGAGCCTCAACATTGTCCTGTCAGGCTGACGGGACCTGGAGTGGAAGTCCACCAACTTGTGAAGGTATCAAGATAGTCTTTCGCATAAGGCCGGTGGCAATGAAAATGAAGCCAAAGTGATTCAAATGGCTCTTGTTATAACAAAATTACCTTCTCATGTTCCAGAAACGTGTGGTCTATCAGTGTTTCGCCACTTTCCCCAGAAGGACTGTGTTGGATGTGACATAGCCCGCCATAACGGCGTAACCCTCGAGTTCTGTGCTAGCGAATGCTGCGCAAACTCCAGATGCGTGTCGTTTCAATACAACGCGGTTGCTTCATGCTTCTTGAAAAATAAGGTTTGCTCCGCTGACGAGAAAGTGTCTACAGCACTTGGCAACATGTACGACCGACCTGATGGTACATTTATTATGGTTTCATTCGTGGTGTGGTGAAACATATTGTTTCTCCGATGTCTCTTCTTCTACTGCCATTTCTTTAAATGGAGTCAACTCTGCCTTTTTTTCAGCCAAATGACCTAAAATTTGTCATGTTGGTAAAGTGGGCAAATGCCCCCAGACATTTTTATTTTCATTTTGGAACAGGCCATTAAAACTGTTTTATTTGTTTGTTTTTTTTCATTTTCAGGCAAAAAAATACATTTTTCGGATCTGGAGCCCTGGTACTAAAACCAAATGACCTGAAATTTGGTATAGGGATACCTTAGACACATGTCTAGAGAACCCACCCCCTCCCCTCGATATAGATATGGTTAAAGCCGAAGGACTTGAAATTCATTATGGGGATACCTTTGACACATGTCCAAAGACTCTCACGGCTCTGGGGTTACTTGTGTACATGCATGTAATCATAGTCATATTCTCGATAGTTTCCGCCGTAAGAAATGTTCTCGTTATGGACTAAGTGGACAATGGGTTGTAGTACCCTGCCAACGTATGTTTTAAGGTTTTAAACTCAGGTGCATGTAGATGACTTGTTCCATTTTTTGCCTGACATTATTCCAATATATCATAGATAGGAAAGCCTGTTAGTGACCTTTGCTCTCTAGGCTACCTGACTAGCCTTAAACTTTAAGAATATACAACTAACTAATGAGATTGTCACCTCTTTTCTCAAATAGTTTTACAGTGTCCCATAGTGCCATCTCCTGCAAACGGTGTGAAGGAGAGCTCGTGTGAAGGAGATCTCACATTCACGTGTGACGCGGGATACAATCTGGTCGGCACTTCTACATTGACCTGTCAGGCTGACGGGACCTGGAGTGGAACTCCACCAACTTGTGGAGGTAGGATATGACTTATATGTAAATGTAGTCTTTCACATAAGGCCGGTGGCAACATAATCAAGCCGAAATGATTCAAATGGCACAAAATGTACAGTTTGAGAGTTGTTGAACAGTTGTATTGAACAGTTACACCAGTTCCATTTCTATAGGACCATTTACTTACTCTTGATAAAGCATCACATTCTTTTTCAATACGTAATTCATTTTGCACCTGTATAACGTTACAGCGGTAAAGTTGACATCTCTTACAAACGGTGCCATAAGCGAATCCAGCTTATTTAAAAGAGGTGCTCATCTTTACGTGTAAACCTAGCTCTAGACAAACCTCAGACTATCTAATATCAAGGGAAAACCTTAATAATATTCGAAACCTAAATATTTTGTCACCTCTAACGCAGCTGTACAGTGTCCTATGCTGACAGCTCCTACAAACGGTGCTGGTAGCGGATCCAACTCTTACGGAGAAGATTTCACCTTCACATGTTTCATTGGATACAATCTGTTCGGCGCTTCTACATTGACCTGTCAGGATGACGGGACCTGGAACTTGCAACCACCAACCTGTGAAGGTAGAATATGCCTTATTGTATCAAGGTTGTCTTTCACATAATGCCGAAGTATTATCAAGCCGAAATGATTTAAATACCATACAATGTACAGTTTGAGAGTTGAATACAACAGCTACCTCAGTTCAATTGGGCCCTGTTTATATATAAATTTTATTTACAGCCTCACAGTGTCCGCAACTGCCAACTCCTGTAAACGGCGCAATGACTGGTTCCTTTACCTACATGGGGGTGGCACAGTTCACTTGTAACGCAGGTTACCATCTAGTAGGTGCGACAAGCATCGTGTGTCAGGCTGACAGTAGCTGGAGCGGTACTGCCCCTGAGTGCCAAGGTAACAGCCTTGTTTTTCATGTGGTCCAAACGAAACACCCGGTGACCGTGCTTTTAATTTACAGAAGAGGATATGTTAGAGTTTGTAGATTTTATGTATTACCTTTTGTCGTGAATGTTTGTGGTGTAGTGACGATTTACGCCTTACATGTAAGCCAAGGGGATTATTGAAACATTTTTTCTCGTGTTTCAGCTGTGCAGTGTCCGCTGATAACTGCTCCTGCTCACTCTACGATGACCGGTGGCAACTCTTACCCAGATGTAGTGCACTTCACCTGTGACGAAGGTTATAATCGCCAAGGCGTTGAAAGCATCACGTGCCGGGCAGACGCCACCTGGAGTAACATTGCCCCCACATGTACAAGTAAGACTTCGTATCCTTTGCATATATAGCATATATAACATAACAAAGCGGGAGAGAGATAGATATTTGGAATTCAGATATATATATTTGATATAGATAGATAGATAGATAAATAGATAGATAGATAGATAGATAGATAGATAGATAGATAGATAGATAGATAGATAGATCTGATAGATCTGATAGATCTGATAGATCTGATAGATAGCTAATTGGATACATGTAGATAGACACCCATAGATATAGATGGATACATAGATAGATATGGATCTGTAATCCGTCGTAAGTACTAGTACAAGTCAAGAATTGAAAGGGTACGTTAATACGTTATTTTTTTTCATTCTCTAGTTGTACGATGTACGCGTGCGATTCCACCGTTAGATGGTTCTATGACTGGAGGCAACGCCTACCAAGACACTGTGCGGTTCACCTGTAACCTGGGACATGAGCTTCAGGGTTCAGGCAGCATCACATGCCGGGCGGACGGCACCTGGAGCGCCGAGGTTCCAACCTGTACAGGTAAGGCATTCTAAGGTACAGAAAAATAAGAATGAAAAAATCATGGACGTAGATAGACGTATTCATTTTCACCTGAGTTAAATGAGGAAATTCGTTTAAAAGTGCCTTTCCATAAGGGCACAAGATCGGTGCCTTGGCAGGATTACAAGAGGTCCATCTGCCGTTGCGCCATACGACCCCAGATTTTCTAATCCCAAGTATCCTGTATCTATTCTTTCAGCTGTACAGTGCCCGCCTCTGACACCCCCTGTCAACGGTGCAATGACTGGTGAATCTTCAGTCTACCAAAGCGTGGTACAATTTACCTGTGACTCGGGCTACGACCTAGAAGGTCCTAGGAGCGTCGCGTGTCGGGCAGACCGCTCGTGGAGTGATAGTGCCCCCATTTGCAATCGTAAGAGTTTATGTTCTTTCTACACGTAGTAGAAATAAGCTGGCTTTTCAAACTAATTACCCTTGGATTACTAAAGGAGACAATGGAACCAATAAAAACACAAATAAATAAAAACCTACAGTTCCTAAAAATTAATAAATAATTAATAAATAGTTTTCCTATATGTATCTGTCTACTTCTGTTTGAAGTTGAATTTCATCGCCATCGGTTTCATTTGCCTTTTTTAACACACTCATTCAATATAGGCTAATTTTGAACATTCATGCTTCAGGTGTACGGTGTCCTCTTCTAACTACTCCCGCACACGGCACAAAGACAGGCGACAACCTTTACCAGGACGTGGTAACGTTTGCCTGTGAGTCAGGCTACGAGCTTGTGGGGGCGGCATCCACCATATGCCAGGCTACCGCCACGTGGAGTCACAGCATCCCAACTTGCACACGTAAGGGTTTCTGTCTTCCGCACAAAATAAAGAAAAAGAAAGGAGAAAAACACACTTGGCCAAATTTGAAGTTTTTTTAAATCTTTTATTCATTTTATCCTTATTGTCCACCAGACATTTGCAAAAGGCTAGTAGTAAGAGCAGATATGTCAGCATGATCAGAGCCAACCAGGAAATAAATTTACCACAAGGGATTTCATGTTCCAGGCATACAGTGTCCTCACCTGGCTGCTCCCACACACGGTTCAGCGACAGGCTCAAGTTATTATCAGGACACGATGGAGCTTACTTGTTACGCAGGTTACCAGCTTGTAGGTGCGACAAGCGTCACCTGCCAGGCAGAAGGCACGTGGAGTGACAGCGTCCCTACTTGTACACGTAAGGCATTGCATCTTTCATGAGCAAAAGTGTCTTCCCTTAGCTTGGATGAAATGAATTTAGCTGCATGATGTGAGATACCAGTTAATAGTTAAGTACTCCCGGGGCATGTTACGCTGGTAGATATACAAGATAAGTGTACCCATATGTGGCATGCGGACAACTGTACTGACTTATCGAAAAAATATAATATGAGTATTTTAATTTTTAGACATTTTTTATGTCGTAACATCTTTTTAAGTCTTGACCGGCCAATTTTTGTCACATATTAAATACAGCCGTACCTTGTCCCTCTCTGTCGCCACTCGACAACGGAGTCCACACCGGCAGCCACTCCAACTCTTACGGAGACGTGGCTTACTTCCAGTGTGATACAGGGTTCCATCTGCTAGGCTCGTCTGTGCGTGCCTGCCAGGCTGACAGGACCTGGAGCGGATGTTCTCCAACATGTACAGGTAAACCATTAAAAATTTGCCATAGCAAAGTCGAATTCGTCTCTCCATAAGCATTTAGTCATGTATACACTCAACACTCGTCGACATCGTTAACATCGACGACCACTATGCTTATCTTGATTTCTACACAGACATAAACGAGTGCTCTACTGCAAATGGCGGTTGCGAGCAAACATGCACCAATCTTTTCGGAAGCTTCCAGTGCTCTTGCAGGACTGGCTATAGCTTGAACAGCGATGGCTTTGCCTGTGATGGTAAGCATCTTAAAATCCCTAGTCAACATTTATTGGCGAGAAGGACATTATTCTTTGAGACTTTGATATTCTTGATGTTCATCTTATCCTCCAACTATCCCTCAAAATCCTGTTTATCAGAGTCATAAATTGTTTATTTTTCAACACGTTAACACAGACGTCGATGAATGCTCTTCTGCGAACGGCAACTGTGAGCAGACATGTACCAACACCATCGGCAGTTTCCACTGTTCCTGTGAAACTGGTTACAGCCTAGATGACAATGGGTTCACCTGTGACGGTAGGCACCTTTTCTCACAGATGATTTATCTAGTTATTTTTCACTAACCGGTAACGCATGGTGAATGCGTTACCCATGGCCCAGGCTATATCATGGTTCAATTTCCTTTGTGCTAAATGTTAACCCAAGTTGATAATCTTACTTGGTCAGGAAGAGACGGGTTGATCCTTTTGACTTCATTGCTGTTTGTAGCCAGAACTGAACTTATCGTGCCAAAAAAAAGATTATTAAAACAAACACATTGTATGTGTATTGATTTTCGGATGGATCAGATTTTTACTGGTATAAAATTAACCCTTTTCCTTTGTATTTCAGCCATAGAGTGTCCACAGTTGACAGCACCTATGAATGGTGCAATGGTGGGCTACAATTCCTATCAAGACGAGGTAGAGTTCACCTGTGAAACAGGTTACAACCTTGTAGGTGGAGCAATGATCAAGTGTCAGGCAGACGGCACCTGGAGTGGCAGTGTCCCAACTTGCACACGTGAGACTTCGTGTCTTTGATCTATAAATGAGAATTTCCTTGTCTTAAAGGCATCCAATTCAGTTTTTAGGGCTTTGAAACACGATTTTCTAATCTAGTCATTTATCTACATAGTTGACAACCAATGTCCCAATTGTCCCAATGTATATTACCACTCATGGAGCAAAAATTACCAAACTTTTGACGGAAAATGGTTACTGAAAGAGCCCTAGGATGATTTTTACAATACCACCTAGAAAATAAAGGACTCATCTAGTGGCTTGTTTGTGCAATTATAAATGCCAAAGTAAGAAATGCTGATTCGAATGCTGTTATGGGGCAGTATGTGCTAATACCACAAAGATTGCCTAATTCAGAATATTTCCAGTTTTGTTGTCGCATTTCCTGCCCTTAATCCTACTTTAACTAAGGGGATAACCACTTATAATCAGGATATTTCTAAACCTTTAATTCATCATGTTTCAGTCGTGCAGTGCCCAGTGCTGAGAGCTCCCATAGACGGTGCAATGACTGGCTTTTATTCTTACCAAGACGTTGTGGAGTTCACATGCGATTTAGGCTACAATCTTGTGGGATCAACATCCACCACATGCCAGGCTGACGGCACATGGACTGCCATAGCCCCCACTTGTACAGGTACCGCTTTGTGTCTTTCATGTGCAGAAAGTCTAAACAGTTTTGCTTGTGAAGTCATTCATTTTTAATCTGACGGACACTTTCAATATTTCTACATTTCAGCTGTACAATGTAGACTGCTGAGAGCTCCCGTGAACGGTGCAATGGCTGGTTCATATTTCTACCGGGACGACTTACACTTCACCTGTGACGTCGGCTACTATCTCGTAGGTGCATCGATGATCACTTGCTTGGCAGACGGAAAGTGGAATGACAACGTCCCCGTTTGCTCAGGTAAAGTCTTTAATATGTCTTTCAAGTACAGAAATAAACAACAACCCGATGTCCAAAAATGTATCTGTACTGGTAAGTGGCCCACTCACGAGCCCATTGAATGACCCATCATGAGACTATTGAGTTACTTATCATGAACACATGAGCTCATTTATTGGCTCATCATGGGCCCATTGAGTGGCTCATTATAAGTCCACTGAGTGACTCATCATAAACCAATTAAATGGCTCATCATAATCCCATTAAGTGACTGATCTTAACCCCATTGAGTGACTCATCATGAGCCCATTTAGTGACTCAAGATGAGCCCATTGATTGACTCATCATGAGCCCATTGAGTGACTCATCATAACCTATTCTGTGACTCAACATGAGCCCATTTAGTGACTCATCATGAGCCCATTTAGTGACTCATCATGAGCCTATTTTAGTGACTCATCATGAGCCCATTTAGTGACTCATCATGAGCCCATTTTGTGACTCATCATGAGCCCATTAAGTGACTTATCATGAGCCCATTTAGTGACTCAACATGAGCCCATTGATTGACTCATCATGAGCCCATTTAGTGACTCATCATGAGCCCATTTTAGTGACTCATCATGAGCCCATTGAGTGACTCATCATGAGCCCATTTAGTGACTCAACATGAGCCCATTTAGTGACTCATCATGAGCCCATTTAGTGACTCATCATGAGCCCATTTAGTGACTCATCATGAGCCCATTTAGGGACTCATCATGAGCCCATTTTTAGTGACTCATCATGAGCCCATTTAGAGACTCATCATGAGCCAATTTTTAGGGACTTATCATGAGCCCATTTAGTGACTCATCATGAGCCCATTAGGTGACTCATCATGAGCCCATTGAGTGACTCATCATAACCTATTCTGTGACTCATCATGAGCCAATTTTAGTGACTCATCATGAACCCATCTAGTGACTCATCATGAGCCCATTTAGTGACTCATCATGAGCCCATTGAGTGACTCATCATGAGCCCATCTAGTGACTCATCATGAGCCAATTAAGTGACCCATCATGAGCCCATCGAGTGACTCATCATGAGACCATTTTAGTGACTCAACATGAGCCCATTTAGTGACTCATCATGAGCCCATTTAGTGACTCGTCATGAGCCTGTTGAGTGACTCATCATAAGCTAATAGAGTGGCTCATCATGAGCATTGAGAACCCCATTTTTCTTGTTTCAGTTGTAAGGTGTCCGATGTTGAAAGCTCCCGCAGACGGTGGAATGACTGGCTCTAACTCCTACGGAAACACTGTGCAGTTTACCTGTGACTCAGGTTGCTGGCATGTGGGTGCGGCGGCCGTCACATGTCAGGCAGACGGCAGGTGGAGCGACAGTGTCCCCGTCTGTACAGCTGCAGACACAGGTAAGGCTGACAACATCCATATACGAAAGCACACAAATTGCATCATTGCTGGAAATGTTATTTTTTTTGACGAGAATAGTTATGTTTACCCAGTTTCGTGGCGTAGAGGGTTAGTGTATAGGTCAGGGTTTTAGAGCTACGCTTTTGACCCGGGTTCGAATCCGGTGGCCAGGTACAAACTGCGTAATTTTATTACGGTATGATTCGGGTTGTAAAGTTTTTTTCAGTTCGTTTATAAATGCGCCACCTGCATCCCAGGGACTCAAGTGCGAAATCAACTATTTGTCAGTTATTCCATAAGATTATGTCCTAAACTTAAACACATTTGTTTTTCACTGATGATAATAGTCACCCTGGGCAAACCAGCGTATCAAACAAGCACTGGCTGGAATGGGCCTGCAGAACTCGCCGTAGACGGGAACACTGATGGCGACTACGACGCTGGTTCATGTACACACACTGTAGGTGTTCCGGGTGAAACTGATCCAAGCTGGTGGGTGGATCTTGGACAGTCGTATATGGTTGACAGGTAAACTTTGTTTTACTTTCCAAGTAAAGTGTGAACTTGATTGTACACCCAGTAGCAACAGTCTACAAATTATAATTTATAGTCTGCTCCATGTGGGTGTGTCAATAAATACTTGTATTGGCAAAAGACTGCCCTAAAATGCAAATCCCAAGACCTTCTCGTTACGGTATTGACCAAGGATCTAAGTTAAGAAGTTTACATGGTGTTTATGAATATGTATAAGGGTATATCTTAACTCCATTGCTATTGCTTTGTTTATAATAACTACAGAATAGTCGTATTCAACCGCATGGAATGTTGTCAGGAACGACTCAACCCCTTCAACATCCACATCGGGGATTCCGACCAGGTCAGCACGAACCCAAAGTGTGGCGGTGATCATCAAATCGACGTGAACCAGCCGTCCATTTCCGTCTCATGTCAGGGGATGAGGGGGCGGTACGTGGGCGTCCGTCTCCCCGGACCCAACCGAATACTGACCCTGTGTGAAGTCCAAGTCTTTTCGGGTAGGTTTTGGCTACATTTACTTTTTTAACGGAGTTATGATATGATATCATCAGATGCTTTTATGTGACCTGATCATTTCCGTGTCAAGTTTTGGGGTCAAAACGTCAGGTATGCCGGGCAGAGTTGAATGGATTGCTCGCCATATATATGAATAAATAAGACAGTAGTAGTTCGTCAGGCTAGACTATTTGAAGGTTAACATTATGCATTTGCTTTGCCTCTAGTCACAAATATTTTTTCTTCATTCTTCAGACGTACCCTGCCCCGTACTGACGGCTCCTGTAGACGGTACCATGACCGGACACCGCTATTTCTTCTATGGGTCCATCTCTTTCCGGGAGTATTTGCCGGCAGGTGCAACTCGCTGCGATGCCTACCCTGAGGACGTGGAGTTCACCTGTCACCAAGGTTACCATCTTACAGGTGCGACGCGTATCACGTGCCAGGCAGACGGCACCTGGAGTGATAGTGTTCCCACTTGCACAGGTGAGGTGTTTTTTATTCCAACATTTTATCAGAAGAACTGGTTACGGCACAATCAGGTTTTTTTTCCAACTTATTTTTCTGCCACCACCAACCCAAGGACAATGATAAGTTTATTGCAAATTCCTGCCCGAAGGCTAATTTCAAATAACAAAGATAAAAGAACATAGGAGCAGAGTACAAAAAACTTAAAAATCTACATAATAAAAGGTTTTTGTCTAAACTCCCAACTCCGGTTCAGTAGCCCGTGGGCCACACGGTTGTGCCATCACCTACCGAACGCCAGGCGAGTGCACCGACTACCCACTTGGCCATTGCATCAGTTGTCAACTTACGATAGAAGTGAAAAATGCTATACTAAATAGAACTTTCACATCCAATAAAACTCCATTGTTTACTTTTACATTTCAGTTGTACAGTGTCCGTCTCTGGCGGCTCCTATCAACGGCATGATGACTGGCTCCAATCTTTACCGAGACGTGGTTCACTTCGCATGTGACACCGGATACGATCTCGTAGGTCCTCCAAGCGCCACGTGTCTGGCAAGCGGCGCATGGAGTGACATTGTCCCCAATTGCTCAGGTAAGAATTTGTCCAGAGCTATTTATTTGTTTTTCATGTACATAAATTATATGCCAATGAAATATAGTTCTCTTTTGTCGAGATATTTGTCAAATTTTCCTATTTCTCATTTAGCGGTAAGGTGTCCCCTACTGGAAGCACCCGCACATGGTACAATGACTGGCAACAACTCCTATCAGGACGTGGCAGAGTTCACATGTGATGTTGGATACAGTCGTGTGGGTGTAGGAAGTGCTACATGTCAGGCAGACGCTAGGTGGAGTGACATTGCACCCGTTTGCACAGGTAAAGCTTTGTGCATTGCATATAAAGAAAAATGTGCTAACATGATAAATATAAGAAATTCTAATATATAAGAAATTTTGTTTTACCTTTGAAAATTAAACCTTTCCTTTTCAGCTCACTTTCTCCATTTTTCTTACATTTTTTCCTCTTTGTTTTAGTGGTGAAATGTCCAGAGCTGACGCCTCCACCAAACGGTGCAATGGAGGGCTCCTCTAACTCCTTTGAGGATGTTGTACACTTCAGCTGTTACCCGGGTTACAATCTTGTAGGTGCTACAAACACAACATGTCAAGCAGACGGTACATGGGGTGACAATACTCCCACCTGCGAAAGTAAGTCATTTTGTCTTTAATTTTTCTGGACGTTTCAGGTCATTAGCTGAGACAACGACTGAGACAGTCGTCTTTCTTACATTGTGCAATCAGACTTTACAACAAATCAACTTCTTAGTGACTCCAGTGGTCCTGGTTTCCTGTTTTATATTGTTCTATTGTATTGTATTGTATTGTATTGTATTGTATTATATATTTGCAGTCGGTTTTATAGTTTATTGTACATACTATTAGTTATGTGATAAAATTTTTTTGTGACAAAGAGTGTACCCTTCCCTGCCAAGGTTTGCCATTTGTGAGAACAATAAAAAAACAATCTTCTTTAGGAAGAATTGAAATTAAATTCTCCTATTTCTCGTGTTTCAGTCGTACAGTGCCCATTGCCGACAGCTCCTGAACATGGTGAAAGAACAGGGTCAAACCTGTACCGAGATGTGCTGCACTTCACCTGTCACACAGGTTACTACATTGACGGTTCTAGAGATATCGTGTGCCTGGCTAGTGGCACGTGGAGCGACAATGTCCCGACCTGCACAGGTAGAGCTTTCTGGTGTTTACTCATGAAAATACTTATATCTATGTTATCATGAAAGTTCATCTGTGTTGGTAGTTATATGTTTAAAGTCAAAACTTTTGATCCAACACAAAGAAGTTCTCTGACCTAGAGCTTTGACCAGTCACTCTGGTCTTCCTCAGTAGACTAACCCAGTGAGGCTTGTCACTTGGCTCCTTTGAAGTGTGACGTAAACACTAGGTCAATTGTATCTGGTAGACGATGTCGGCCCCCGTCACGGTTGAATGAAGAGCGATGGGCCCTGATGTAAATAGCCTCTGAGTCAGTCTACTGAAGAAGACCAGAGTGACTTATGAAAATCTCTAGTTGAGAGAACCTCTTTGTGCTGGATCAAAAGTTTTGACTTCAATCTAATAGTATGCTTTACATTTATTCAAAAGGATGCTTTAACGCTTAAAAGCGTTAGACTTAGAGTAAGATCAAGCGAACTCTTTATCTGTCTCCAAAATGAAGGTATCTTTCTGTCCCTCCAGTGGTACAGTGCCCGCAGCTGACGCCCCCCTTACATGGTGGAATGACGGGGTTCGACTCCTACCAAGACGTAAAACACTTCACCTGTGATACAGGCTATAATCTTGTCGGGTCTGAAGAGATGACGTGCCAGGCAGATGGCACTTGGAGTGGCAGTTTTCCAACATGCACGAGTAGGTATCTTTATCTGCAAATACATACATTTGTCTGTAAATATATACAAACGAAAAGCTAGTTCTTATTGTTTGTTTATTAAGGAGTCTTCATTAGTAACACTACAACTACTAGTCTTCCTGCAGTTCTCTTACATAGAATATATACATTATAACTCCTATCTGTATTTACTTCAAACTACTTTGAAAAGGAACATTTTCTTACTAACATTTACGATCTAGTAATAATATTAACACAATAAACGTCATTAACGTAAATTTTACACATTTAACATCAATCGATCAATAACCTCATTTAACAATATTACATTAAAATGTTAGTATGAATTATCATTTTCTAGGTTTAGGAGGGTAAAATACTGAAATATGATTCTCGATGTTCCAGTCGCGCAGTGTCCGGAGCTGCGGCCTCCTGCAGATGGAACAATGCAGGGTTGTAACTCTTACCAGGGCGTGGCGCGTTTCACCTGTAACCCAGGCTACGGTCTGGTAGGTGAGGCAAGCGTGACCTGCCAGGCGGACGGCACGTGGAGTAGCAGTGCTCCAGTCTGTAGCGGTGAGTACAGTCTAATCGATCTCTGCATCTACGTATATGTGAGTCTGATCGATCTCTGCATCTACGTATGTGTTCTTGTACAAGTTGCTTGAATCAAGATCTGAAATATATTTTTAAGACATGTGTATGTGACCTTCATTTCGATGTCTCACAAAAGGTCTCTTGTCTAGCTCTCTACCTTGCCTGTTACTTTCAAACAATTATATATCTTAATGCTACAGCCTTACCTTGTCCGTCACCCGAGGTCCCCGAACACGGAACAATGACTGGCTACATTGCCTACAAGGAGGCTGTACGGTTCTTCTGTGACACAGGGTACAATCTCGTAGGTGCGACAAGCATCCTATGCCGGGTCGACGGCACTTGGAGTGGGACTGTGCCTACCTGCACATGTAAGAATTTGAGTTTCTATTTGAGTTATTAAGATTATAATAATTATATTGCAAGTTCATGCCCGGGGGCTAAATGCAAACCGACGAAGGCAATGAGCACAGATTGTATAAAACTATGTAATAACATGAAGTTCTGCTTCTTCTGCTTATCTAAGGTTATATCTCTACTTTACTACTACCAATAACGTATGTATATGTGACAGAAAGAGGGTATGAAATACTGTAACATAAACATAGAAGACTGGCATGATCATTCTATTTCTACTTAAGCTATTTCATGGGTTTCTCTCTTAATATATTCTTATCTCGAGGCAGTGGGGGACTTTTTGACAAATAAATGGGTAAGAAAACTTGTTGGTGATAATAATAACGATAGTAATAAATAAAAATAATATTAGCAGCTACAATTTACTAATGTTATTAAACATAAATAAAACTTTCAACCATCTTCTATCACCTTTATCTCCTTTGTTCAGTGGTGCATTGTCCGGTGCTGACATCTCCCTCTGACGGTACAATGACGGGCGGCAACTCCTACCAAGAAGTGTTACAGTTCTCCTGTAACTCGGGCTACTATCTTGTTGGTGAGGCCGCGATTACCTGTCAGGCTGACGGCACGTGGACTGGAAGTGCCCCCACGTGTGCAGGTAAATCTTCTTCAATGTATGGAGCATGCATGGGTCAAAAATTGCTATGCACGGAAAAAAATATCATAGACAGATCATATTTATTAAAAAGATCCTTTTTTTTAGTTTTTCTGAGGTGAAAATATTTTAGGACGTATATCTATTTTTTAAACAGTATACATGAGAAATTGTAAATGATAATTTATTAAAATACAACGTATTTGATAAAGGGACAGGTCGTGGCAAAATTTAAAAAAGACACGTTCTATAATGGCTCTCCTAGCGACTTTCTTTGATACTGCAGCAGGACTGTTTTAATATCCTTTCTCCATGTTTTAGCTGTTGAATGTCCGGCACTGACCGCTCCTGATGACGGTGCAATGACTGGCACCAACTTCTACCCGGCCGTAGTTCACTTCACCTGTAACGATGGATACGTTCTCGTTGGAAGCCCTACCCTGACATGCCAAGCTGATGCTACATGGAGTGGGACCGCCCCAACCTGTACACGTAAGAAAGTGACCTTTAATTACTAGCACGGGCAACTGCGTCATTTAGAATGTGGTGTTCAGGCATACATACAACATGACATGCAGAAACATCATAAAGCTTAATGTGTCAAGACAGTGGAATCAAAAGACATTTTGTAGCGTCTTAAAATTCGTTGCAATCTATGCTGGTGACAAAGTTCTACTTGAATAACTATATATAACTAAATCATTCAGACACCATACTTTATATCTTCCTATACTATCATGAGCGTTCATCTGTGTTGGTAGTTACATGTTTAAAATTAAAATTTGTGATTCAACTGGTCACTCTAGTCTTCCTCAGTAGATTGACCCAATGTGGTACATCTTCTATATCTTCTATATCTTTTATATTTTCTTATTTGTTATTAAAGTTGTACAGTGTCCAGCGGTGGTGGCTCCTGCAAACGGTGCCGTGAGTGGCTCAAACTACTACGGGGACGAGGCGCAGTTCTCGTGCATCAGTGGGTACGAGATCTTCGGCAGTTCCACCATCTCGTGCCTGGAGGATGGGCAGTGGAGCATGAGCGCGCCGACATGTACAGGTAAGGGTCTAGCCACATACGTCGTGCAATCGTCGTACGATCGTCTTGCGATTGTCGTACGATTGTCTTACTATCATCGTACGATTGTCTTACGATCATCGTACGGTTGTCCTACGATCGTCGTACGATTGTCTTACGATAATCGTACGATTGTCTTACGACAAAGTTATGTTTCATGTTACTACAGATGGTCCGTGTCCAAACCTGGTCCCTCCCATGAATGGTGGTATGACGGGCGAAAACTCGCACGGGAGCGCGGTGACGTTCACCTGCAATTCTGGGTACGAAATACAGGGGGCGCACGCTGTGACCTGCAAGTTAGACAGCACCTGGACTGACAACCCACCGACATGTAAAGGTGAATGTTTATTTGTTTATCTTTCAAATGTGCTGTATATACCCTGCAATTGTCCACTTTTCAAGTTTTCAATGTTGTATTTTATGCCCTTAGATATTATTCACGTTAAAGCGTCGACTGTCTACCCAACACAAAGTGGCCGGTGCCTTGCTCCTCCAAGCACATCTTTCCAAGCAGCAAATACTCGGCGGTTTCAGATACAAGTCCTGTACCTAGACCGCCTTTAATTTTATTCTACCATTCTATCATTTCCTATTGAGATCAACAGATCAATCACCATCTTGTCATGCTGGTTGTACAGACGCATGAAACTCTTTCTCCTCTCACTGTCCTTTATAGCTCTATAGGTAGCTCTTTTAAAGTGCATCCTCCCACAATACTTTGTTAATGTTCCAGTGTTACACTGCCCTACGTTGACGTCCCCTGCAAACGGTGGCATGGTGGGCTTCACTAACTACCGGGCCGTGGTCACCTTCAGCTGTGACCCGGGGTACGACCTGGCGGGTGAGACCAGTGTAACCTGCAGAGGCGATGGGACCTGGAGTGGGAGCGTTCCTTCGTGTAGCGGTAAGTGTAGTATTATGTAATATATTCTTCAAAGACCCCAGTCTCACTGGGTCAGTCTACTGAGGAAGGCCAGAATTACTGGTCGAACGCTCTAAGTGAGAACGTTTACCTTTGTGTTGGAACAAAAGTTTCATAATCATTGCATTTATATTGTGAATCGTTGCCGTTTGGACTAGCGAAAGAATTTGCTTGTCGTTCTATTTTAGTTCTAAAATATGCAACGTTACATGTAATCTTTATCTTTATGTACTTTATTATGTCAGCCATTCACTGCCCCAGCATGACGGCATTAGCTCACGGCTACTTCACCGGTTCCAACGCTTACCGGAGCGTGGTGACGTTTCACTGCCTGCCTGGATTCGAACTTGTGGGGGATGAAAGTCTGACTTGCCAAGCGGACAAGACGTGGAGCGGCCCCCTACCAACTTGCGATGGTACTTCATTCACTAATCTATTGAAAAGCATAATAAGACTGTGTGTCATGTATCATATACCTGCCTTACTTGAAGCATCTCTCTTGCTGTTGAGGTGTATGAATCACAGACTATATATTACTGCTCTATTTGGGTGGTTTGGATAGCTGAATTGTGGGGTTGTGAATCTGTACTAGTAGCTTCGGTTGCGTGGTGAGTGGGAGGTCAAGAAAATTCAAAATACTTGTTTTTTTTCCGTTACAGTTGTGAAATGCCCCGCACAAGCGGCTCCCACCAACGGTGCCAAACACGGCGGCAACCTCTACAACGACGTGGTGACGTTCCTGTGCGTGACAGGGTATCACCTGGTTGGGAGCTCCAGTGCCAGGTGCCAAGAAGACGGCTCATGGACTGCGCCGACTCCAACATGCCCAGGTGAATTATCATGAAAGTTCATTTGTGTTGGTAGTAATCATTATGTTGAGACAATACCGTCTCATTGGACCAAGTTAGAACACTGGACACTGAACAGGACTAAGTTTTAAGAGGCATAAAGGAGGCTATATGTATGTATATATCAGGGACTCACTTAACAGAGACGGAGGACGATATAAACTCCCTGGCACGCTTGATCAATTTCCAATTGCAAACAAAAAAGAATAACCACAGTTTTCTTGACTCAGCCTTCATCGTCTGGCCCAATCGCTCAGGGAACGTGGCTTTATGATTCAACTGTATTCAGTTATCTATTCGCTCAGCTGTACAGAGGCATTCGGCCACTGACACGAATAGATAAATGACAGTCAAACCTGTCTAAGGCGACCACCCAGGGGACCGAGGAATTGGACCAGGGGCCTTCTTATACTAAAAACATGATGACAAAACTGCAGCAAAATTTCCACCCGTTTTACAATAGACTGCACCAATGATCAAAAGTGACCCATGTTACATTGCGCGTAGCCTGCAATGCTGTCAAAATCAATGGCAACATGTTATCAACGATGATTCAAATGACATGAAATTACAAACAGAAATCACGCACCCCATGATGACATGCAGATCAAGCAAAGTAAAACCAAAGCAAAAAGAGAAAAAATGACCCAAAACTTACAATGCTGCGTACTCTGCACAGATATGAACGAGTGTTCCTCATCCAACGGTGGCTGTGAACAGATCTGTACCAACACGGACGGGAGCTTCCACTGTTCCTGTCACGTCGGGTACAGCTTAAGTATCAACAGTTTTTCCTGTATCGGTACGTGGCGTATATTTACTCTTCATTCAAGGTCGTTGAGATACGGCTTCTTTCTTTCTTTATTTGACTTTTCCATGGAGACAAAACACAATGGAGGGGGATATACATACATATACATATACATATACATATACATTCGGACCAGAAGCTGATAAAGACCAAATGGCTCGTTGGGAAACTCCTGGTGAGTCGTATTGTTGTAAGCTATTTCTTTGTTGTGACTTGTACTTGAACCAGTGGGAATGTATATACATTTAGTACAATAAAGGTCTTCACTCATATGTATGAATTTAATCATCTCCAAAATCTCCAACAGATATCGACGAATGTACTTCAGCAAATGGAGGCTGCAGCCACACGTGTTCAAACCGCATCGGCAGTTATCAGTGTTCTTGTAACAACGGATACGCCTTAAATGCCGACAACCTCGGATGTGACGGTAAATACCTTCTTGGGTATCAACACTTAAAACAAAGTTTGCAAATGCCTAGATTTATAGTTAACGTTGTAGTCTTTACGTATACATAAAAGGATTTATAAAAATGTATTTTTGGCGATGGACTAACCACCTAAAGATATTAGTACTATAATCAGTAACTAAGTACGGTATCGTGCAAAGATGATAGACATATGTAGATATAGTGAAGCTGTTTAGATCCTCAGTTACCTTCGTAGCCTACAATGCTTGGATATTGACTCATCATGTAATAAAATCCAAATGAATATATTTCTCGCAATGACATTACAGACGTCGACGAGTGTGCGATTGCAAATGGGCGTTGTGGCCACATATGCGCAAACTCTGCCGGAAGTTATCAATGCTCATGCAACACTGGCTACGCCCTAAACTCAGATGAACATACATGTGACGGTAAGGATTATGATGTGAAATGCCTTTTGTTTGTACCGAATTACATTTAAACGTCAATTGTACATTGGACGCAATTCAGTGGTCCCACTGCAATATTCAATGAAGTGACATTGAAGCTTAATCTTGAATCTCAGTCATGTGATTTCTCGATTGAAAGTTGTTTTTTACACTACAGACATCAATGAATGCTTGCCTGCAAACATGAGATGTGACCAAGGCTGCATCAACACAGATGGTAGTTTTTTCTGTCAATGTGGTTTTGGTTTCCTATTGAACAGCGATGGACTTGCTTGTGATGGTAAGAACCATTAATTTTTAATTTTTAGTATTTTTTCTTACTTTTTAATTCTTATGTTTTACTTTTCATTTTTTTATTTTTTTTTATTTTTTTTAATTTTAATTTTTCTTAGTTTTGTTTTAATGTTTTTTTTTTATTTATCCCTTTCATTATACATCCCTCTTATGTTTGTTAAACAGACGTAGGTAGGTTTTTCATAGTATTCCTTGCTTACTTTGAGACAAACGGTGGCTGTTATGGGATTAATTTAGTCGTCTTTCCCACACATAGATATCGACGAGTGCTTGACGGCCAATGGCGGATGTGATCAGACGTGTAACAACACCTTCGGGAGTTACGAGTGTTCCTGTCAGGCAGGCTACGTATTGGACTCACAAACTTGGCTTACCTGCAATGGTAAGCAATCAATCAATCAATAAATCACCTATCAATCGATCATTCAAATTCGTCATCAATTGACTTGGAAAACGATCTTGATCCTGAAAGAAAATGAGTACGATTGTAAAGGAACAGGTAAAATTATGCATGTTTCATCTGTTGGACATTGTGGTAATGGAAAAATGTATATCGAGCAAAAAAGTTATTGAACAAGGCAGACTTCAAGGTGAGTGAATGTACAACGTATGACATCTACTGCTATATAACAAACATTCTATGAGGCTACATTGTAGTCTACCTTACAAATTGAAGACTGATTGACAACGATTTAGTGATGGGTTTTAAGACAAACTGTACGAATGTCACATATAACTTTATTTGCTTGTTTTTCAGACGTGGACGAATGTGCGACTGACAATGGCGGCTGCGACCAGACCTGTGACAACTCTGTTGGGAGTTACAGTTGTTATTGTGGTGTGGGCTATCTCCTGAATACTGACGGGGCCGGCTGTGACGGTACTATACAATCTCATACCCTGCCTTTTGTAACTAGCTTAGGAATGCAATTAAATCAAAGGACTGTTATTTGTTCTTTTTCTTACCCATTTTTGAGAGTATCGCATCCTTTCAACATATTAATCATAGTGAAACAAAGCTGTGTTTTTCTATACGTATCAAAAAGGAAAAAAAAAATTACGTACTACTGTTTAACTCATATACTTGTTTTATCAGATATCGATGAATGTAGCGCTACAAACGGTGGATGTGATCACAGCTGTACCAATACCATTGGAAGTTTTAGCTGCTCCTGTCCAGACGGTTTCAACCTGAACGTTGATGGCTTTGTGTGTGACGGTAAAACCAGTTCTATTACAAGCGTTTTGCACCCGATGGTGTGTACATTAACATCAAGACACATCCATTACAGTTCTTTTATGGATCATTGTGAATTGCCTCTAAATTCTTCTTACTACATCCAATTTAATTCTTTATTAACATATCAACATTTCATGCATACAATGTTGTCCGATATTTGCACAAGAAAATAGCACAGACATGTATGTTAAGTACGCTGCCCAGAGTACAATTGTCAAAGGGGTACCTTAAAGAGCAACACCCTGGGACATAAAGCCAGTCATAGCACCACAAATGCATTCATGAACTCCAAACTAAAGACAGTAAGTGAATTGACAAATAGTTTATGTTTTCAGACGTTGACGAGTGTGCAGATTTAAATGGCGGCTGTCAACAAATCTGCACCAACTTCATCGGTAACTTCAGCTGTTCCTGTCGTATTGGGTACGTTTTGGATCGCGACAACGCCGGCTGCAATGGCAAGTGTTAAAGTTTTTCGAGTTCAGATTTCAGACTCAACCCCAGAAAGTGTTAACATACTCGTATTTCAAGGTAAAACTGGGGGAGTGCTTATGTGTTGGTAGTACTCAGAATGTGTTTTATTTATGTGGTTTTAGAATACAAAAGGTCTTTTTAGAACTCAGTGAATGCTATTTAACATGCTGATAGCATCACAATGTTGTCTGTTTTACTTCAATTCGTTCTGCTGAACGGAATGCGAGATGAACATCTGGATTTATTGCGTTATGCTGTGCTCCATTTCAGATGTGAACGAATGTTGGAGACAAAAAGGTGGTTGTGAACAGATCTGCCACAATTCCCGGGGGAGCTTTTCCTGTGCCTGCATAGCAGGATATCTCCTCGGTTCCGACGGTTTCTCATGTACCGGTAGGGTCATTTATCTCAAAATGGTTACTGCAGGTTTTAATATATCGAATAGGCTAATTTCACTAACTGAAGATCCGCGTAAAGTGCATATTGGTGATGCTTTCATCAGGTTAATGTCCAAATATCTACCAAAATAATGAATAACACATTCCTAGGCCTCCAAAATACATGCATACTGTGTTACATGAATATTGTAATTTTGCGTAAATAGACCTGAAGTCACAGAATCTAGAGGAGCACAGATGGTCTTCTACGACTGAGTGCCAGAGAGCAAGAAGACAAAGACCTAGAGCGATTCTTCACGATCACAGACACGAAATTCATTGATTTTGAATTGTCTTTATGAAGATATCGATGAATGTTCGTCTGAAAACGGCGGATGTGAGCATGTCTGCGTCAACACCGCCGGATCCTACCACTGCACGTGTTCTGATGGCTATGCACTCACTCCGGACAGACGCAACTGTACAGGTACTGTACCTTCATCCGATGGACTTCAGGCAAAGATTTATATAACTTATATATATAACTTCAAAATCTTAATAATAAAAGGTTATTGTCTGAACCTGTATCTAAAACTATGTCTGAAGAGTTTGATTACTCTTTTGGAAACCATGAAAGACGTAATGTCCCACCTTTTCCAAAATTTGTGGGTTCTGGGTATGTTGAAATATAAGTGCTGTATACACAGATTTTCCCCATGTTATTTAATGACGCTTGCAAACCAGAAACGATGTTTCATGTTCATTGTATATTTCTTAGACGTGGACGAGTGTATAGAATCCTATAGCATCTGCGGCTTTCATGCAGTCTGCAACAACTCTGTCGGCTACTTCGAGTGTACCTGCAACCAAGGTTTTCTCATGATGTCAGGCGGCTGCCAGGGTAAGAATATCATTTGTCCAGCTGGCAGTATAGATAGCTGAGGAAGATCTAGAATGTGACAGAGGGTCACTAAAAATGTCGGCTATGTTCACACATGGCCGAATACGGCCTCTCGAACACAGCCGAATTATGGTTAGAAGTAGGTAAAGAGCACGCTTAGGTCGGCTGGTGTTCGGTGAGGATGTCGTCTGTTCGGCTGCGCCAGCAGAATATTTCCGAATGTTTGAAACACTCAGGTGTGGACACTGTCAGGTGGTTCGGCCTTGGTTAGCTGGTGGGGTAGGTCAGCAGTGGTCGGGAGGCAAATTTAACTCAAATTTGGTTAGATTCGTATAGTAAGCTAGAAAGGCACTGGGCGATTCGTATAGAGAGGTGGGTGTGGCCAAAATCAGGTCAGACTGCTCCAGAACTCCAGCCAACCTTGTCTGTTTGTTGATTGGTTTGGGGAAGGTTCTGAATATGTGACAAGAGCTTTAACAACCTGATGATGAAACTACTGTATTGACGAAGTATTGACGAAGCATATGTACGTTGTTTGTAGACATAGATGAGTGTGCTGCCAGTGTCTACCCGTGCGACCAGAATGCCTTCTGCTACAACACGCAAGGATCGTTCGCCTGTATTTGTGCTGAAGGATTCATAGGGAGCGGGACGTCGTGTGAGGGTAAGTGCTAGCCTGAGTGTCATCTTCCGTACAATGTAGTTACCGCCTGCTCCCTACTGGCATTGGCTACCACAGCGCCAGTGACCGTAGGGATGACACCCAGGCTAGGTGAGTGCATGTCACCGGCCTACAATGTTTTCCTTCCTTCCAAGATATGCCTGTGTAAGGAGCGTGGTCTTATCTCCTATCACTTTTCTTGATGGTTGATCATTTCTAATGTTTTGCTAATGTCTTCTTTCAGCCGAGTCCGATTTTAGCCAGAAATTGCTTTTTAATTAGTGAACTGTTCTGTAGAACAGTCGTACCTGCACTGGGACCACCTCTGCATAAGGACCATCCAAATATTGTTGCTACCTTTATATGTAGATTGTTTTTCCAAATACACTAAAAGCTCCAAGAAGTGTTTCCAGATAGTCCATCTGTCTACTTGGAATCATTTTTGTCAAGTCCAATGAGTTTTGGAGTCAGCAAGACGGGCATCACATGATTCACAATACTAACCGAGTGCTCTCTGTATTTCACAGAGATCTGCACCACGACAACGGCAGGGACCACCGAATTCTTCAGTACAACAACCGAGACGCTAGAAGAGGATACAACCTTCCCCATCATCCCGATTACAAGTACAGATTCACCAACAGTCGAGCCAACCACACACTGGATGATACATGCCACCACAGAAGAAGACTTATTCCAAGAGATATTCACTCCTGGACGGACAGCTGGAATTTCGTTTGCTGGTATGTTGATGTTGGCCGTCATAACAACCAACACTTTTCTCGTTTTGAAGCAGTTTAAAGTGTAATTTCGAACACAAGGGATTTAACTTACCCAATGTCAAACTAACTGAGCTAGCCTGTTTGATCATACTTTATGTGTGTGGTAGCTTTGGTGCTGATGTCCAAAGTTAACATTAATGGCTATAAATGTTACTTTTAGCGGGTGGCGCAACCAACACTCCGACGACTACCTCATCAAGCGCAACGACGTCCACGGACGTTAGAGAAACAGTAAGTTTACCTGTTGATATAGTTTATAGATAAAACATGTTTCTGTATTGTACCTTTTGAAGGTAAAAAGTTTTTTTCGAGGTTTCATTACACAATTGAATAATTTGGAATATTTCTCCTAGAAGATCACACTTACATAAGTAATCCGTTTGGATCAGTTATAAAACCAGTACGGCCAATAACAGTTACCGACGTAACGTACGCTACATTTCGTCATCCACTACCTGTATGTATAACCTTCATGAACGAATCTGCTTTTTTGTCTTTACTGAAGGAATCGACGCCTGCCCCTGTCGTGGACAAATTGAAAGACTTCTGGCCGGGGTTGTCTGGTCTACTTCGTGACAAAGGGAACCCAAGAGAGTTGATGGACTATCTAAGCGCCAACAGTGAGCAGGAGAGCTGTAAAGACTCTGAATCTTCTGAATGCGAGGTACGTTGTAGACAGACATGGTGATATATATATATAAGTATAGTCACTAGAATCACACCCAGTAACAGCAAAATGCTACATATAAACAATAATTATTTAGTGGGCAACTGAAATAGGTTTGGTGACCAGGCTACTATCAAGTGACCAATGACCGAGTTTGTTACTGTTCCTCCACAGCGAACGAAGCTGCCATTGGCGTTGGAGATGATGTACAACGTGTCATCTGTGATTGAAGATGCGGATCAGGTGGAAGCTCTGGCAACAGCAACCGACCTTCTCCTCAGATCACCAGAGAAGCTCGGTCAGCACGAACAAGTAAGTCATCTGCCGAGTGTAGTACGCTCCTGGTGCTGTGCATGTTATAATACGTAGTATATAGTAGACTGGACATCTTTCACACTGCAGTCATCCCTTAGTAAGACATCTGGAGCCAATTATTAAAGTTTTCATCCAGCCTGTCATGACCGATTTCGCCCTGTGGGCTTCTTCTATAGAGGCTAAATGACACAAGTTCACTTTTATATTATACTTTACCCTTAGTTCCTGCCTGCTGTCCCTTAACCGACCAAAGGACCTGTCGTTCCAAGGAAAGTTTCTATAGCCATCAAAGGGCCTGCAAGCATTGTGGAATACCTTCATAATAAAGTTTCGCCAGCGAAATTACATTGTTACTGATATCATAGCAACTTTGCATTATTGCTGCAGGTCACTGGAGGCTATATCATAGGTAAATTGACGAAATCCTTCGGTAAACTCTCGGAAAAAGGAGTACGGTTTGAAGACCTGAGACCTGCTGCAACAGGTATTGGCATGATTGTACCTATTCACGTCTGATCTGACTTAAGACTTTTTGTTGTTTGAACCCCTATATGGTCACTGTAGGCTGCTAATACAATGTATTAACATGTGCTAAAACTTAATTACTGCTAGAAAGTAATTACTGCTAGAACTTCGAACGTACTGACCTCAAATGTCTTAACAGCAATTGTTGACACCGTTTCGACGTTGGTGGAAGCTGGAGTACAAGATCAAGAGACACTGAAGGACGAATCTCATCTTTTACCACCGAGAAAGCGGAAGGCGTACAAAGAGAAACTGGAGAAGGAGCGGCAGGAAAAGGAGGAAGAAAATTGGAAACTCGTGTGTACTGGGGCCATTGTATCATTGCCAAATATCCATTGACAGAATATAGTCTAAAGGCCGAGATTGTTAAATTTAAAGTGCTGAATTTGAGTTGGTTTAGGTTAATGATTCAGTTATTTCAGTTTATGGGCTCCTACTGATGAATCAAATGTACCAGATAGCTTGTAACGTCCCCCGTCTAACCACGCATTGTTGCTACAGCAAGAGGAGGCCATGTCTGCGCTAATGGAGCATGTCGATCAAATCGCCAATGCCCTCTCGAACAGTCCCGGAGTCCCGCACAAACCAACACCGATATTAACCCCGGACATGTCGCTGCTCATCAAGAAGGTGTCAAGGTCAGGGTCAGGAGAAGAACCCGACAGTGTGTCCCTCCCTGCTGGAAAAGTGGACTTTCCCAAACATAAAGCATTGCTGCCTTTTACAGCTTCTTCAGACGTCAACTGGAAGGTTTGTGCCAAAACGGCTTTATCTTTTCCCCGGATATCTTCTTTTGTTAGGTCTCACAATATATTCATATAAAATCGCCTGGACACTCGGTCTCATTGGGTTAAGCAATACAACCTTTCTTCAACAAAGACGGGGGGCGCCACAGACTTTCTGCAACTTACGATCCACTGCTCACCGTGTCACGTGTGTCATGTGCATGACACGTCACGGAAGCGGTGGATTGTCCATTCCTTGACAAAGACTGGAGTTGCACGGTCGAACATTTGGGAAATCCAGTCCCTTGTGTTGGAAATTACCGTTTAAACTGCTTCATAATCATCACATACAGTGTGTGCGCGTGTCTCTTATTTCCAGATAACCGGCTTCAATGACAACCCGTACGTCTGGGACAGATCGGCAGGAGACATCAAGACATCTGTCGTGGATGTCAGTCTGGAAGACGCAGAAGGGAACGAAATCCCTGTTAACGTTAGTGTATTATTTTAGCATCTCTCTTCTACATGTATGTTTACATGACATGTGCCATCAAAACAAATTGACTCCTTCTTGACGCCGTATTTCAACAATTTGAACTTCCATGCCATCGTTGGCTAGATTTTTAATAGTACTAAACAATGAATAGCAGCTAGCTGAATTAGATACAAGTAATCGCATTGTCTTGCAAGTTTGTGATCGTCCGAAACTAAAACCAACAATTGAACAAGTGTGTTAACTCAAAATAACGATAACTATAGACAAGCCTTACCTATCAGGCGGCCGAGTTTCATCACTCCGTTTTTCGACAATGCTGAAATAAAATTTTTGGTATTTTTAAAAGTTTTTCCGTCTCTTTTTTTGTCTTCTGTAGGGGCTGTCTGAAGCCTTTACCATCGTCCTTCAGAACAGCCCAGAGATGTTCCGGGTCGGACATCTCGTGAACTACAAACATTATGACAACAGCACCATGGCGTTCCGAGACTTCCAGGCCCTGGAGAACGCCACGTACGGGGTCACACTGACGGTGCGGACCGCCGGCTTCATCAGAGAAGCCAAGATGTACGGCAAGCTCGGCGGCGATCCGAACGACACGGACCACGACTTCAGGTAGGAGCTGAGTACGTATATTTATCAGGCAACAGCTCTAATACACCGGTTTGTGATCCAGTCCTATTTGTTAACGCAGCTGGTTAGCCGTTACCAACCAATCACGTCGCCGCCTAAGGCCAAGAGGCAACGTGATTGGCTGTTAACCCCCCCCCCCCCTCCAACAACCGGAGAGGGATGGATATTCGTGATTGGCTGACGGATCGCGCTGGCCTGTACGGCAGGACCGTTGCTTGGTGCATAGTTGACGCTGGTCAGCCGTCACCAACCAATCGTGTCGCCGCCTAAGGGCAAGAGGCAACGTGATTGGCTGATTAACTTTTCGTCCAACAACCGGATGGGGAAAACTGATTGGCTGACGGATCGCAGGCCGGTCCGTCATCAGGACCGTTGCTTGATGCGCAGAGGCAAGCTTGGCATGTAAGGATTGAGTGAATCTTCTCTACTCACTTTTCTGTTTGGTTTCGCAGGATGCTTCTTTTGTGGGAGGACTTTGACATCACGGGGTATGACGGCAACCTCACATTCACAGCCTTCATCCTGCTCCCTGTCGGGAAGGTCAACAATGGAAGTGGACAGTATACACTTGGCCTACTGATTGACGGTACAGTCAAACTGTTGTTAATAACAGTTGTAGAAATCCCCAGTGCATTGATAATTATATCATACAATACTTACTTGGTTAGTTTCCTAAAGGTAATCATAAGACATAACTTGATTTCATTATTATTGCTGCTTTCATCGTACCAAAAGGAACCGACCAAATAATAAGCATGAACTTTTGCTATATCCTAAACTCTATATCTCTATTTTCACTGTCTTAAAACTAGCTTTCTTCTAAATGCATTTAAGCCTGTTGTGGCCTTACTGTATCAACTTCTCACTTCCAGAGTGCCTGTCACAGAAGTGTAATTATTCAGCGGATATCGTCAGGATAAGTTGCCGGTACTGGGACTCAAAGGACGGCAGTGGCGCGTGGAAGGGAGATGGCTGCAAGGTACAGTATGGGAAACTTATTTAGACTTGTTAAGAGTACTTGTAGGAATTTCAAAAACACTCACTGCCTTTTGTCTACATGCAGGTCAGTTCAAAGACCACCCGGGAGGAAACAGTCTGTCTGTGTGACCACCTGACTGCCTTCGGAGCCGACATTGTTCGGGTTCCCACCCGCGACTCGGTCTACTCCCGATCAGTAGTCGGGCAGGACAGCTCTATGGTCTGTCTGGATGAACAGTGAACATGTTTGAGGTTAAAACTTAAGATCCAACACAAAGAAGTTCTCTCTCCTAGAGCTTTCGACCAAACTGGTCTTCTCAGTAGACTGACCCAGAGGCTTGTCACGTTGCTTCTTTGACGTCAACACTGGGTCAAAGGTATCTGGTAAATGATGTCGGCCTCTTAGACCCAGTGTTGACGTCACACAAGAAGCCACGTGACAAGCGTCACTGTGTCAGTCTACTGAAGAAGACTAGAGTGACTTGTCGAAAGCTGTACATGTAGGTGAGAGAAATTCTTTGTGTTGTACTTTAAACATGTAACTACATGTACCAACACAGATGAACCTTCATGATAGTACAGTTAACATATTGTACAAATTATATAAATCATAAATAAATAACGAGACATTCATAAAATAATTATGCATGTAGTTTTATTATCTTGGTGGATCATAGATATATATTATCATCATAATGATAATGCCGCTTGCTTTATCATCAAAATACATACAGTCCTGATTTCAATGTTGTACACGCATTTATTTCAGAGCATAGACAAAACAATGACTGTACACCACAAGAACTCATTTAACTGGATTTTTGTACACTTCAAACGTGTAACAGACGACACTGCAAAATACAATGTAGTGCTTGGAACTTGACACATTTTCAAATGTACATCTGTACAACTTGAACAATAGAATTACAACTGTTACAGTGGCTTTCTACATGTATATTTATACTAATTGGTGAGAAATGTAGGGGGATATTTGCTGGTTGATGCTGTGGCCTGGCTGTTGTCTACTTTCTTTTCTGTACCAGATTCGTTGCTCTTCTCTGCATTTTTATTTTCATCTTCATCCTCTTCTTCTTCTGACGATGATGATGTCTCTGATGTACTGAAATGGGAAAAAAATCACATGCAAGTTTTATTTTATGACAACAATAAAAAGGAGACATGTAATAGCTTATTGATTTGACAATCACAGCGCTTTAACAAACTGAACATAGGGGGTACAAATATTGAGCAGATTAACAAACAAACTTAATATTACATTACCTGTCATCTTCATCATCATCGTCATCATCTTCATCATCATCAGTCGATCCTTCACTACTGCTGCTCTCCTCTTCAGCTTCAGCCTCTGAAAGGACATTTCAAGAGCAAAAATTATCAATATACAATAACCATCATAATGTCAACACTTAACTGTGATAACTTCTCAAATAATCTAATTGAAATGTATACATTATAAATAAAAGTCATCTCACCTTGTTGCAGTCTTTCCTCTATCAAGGGTTTGAACTGAAGAGCTTCTGGGTTTTCTGGTTCATAGATGAGAACTGAAAAATCAAAACATTCATGATGAAGATTCATACACAAAACATACTGTGATCACCTCTGCATAAGGACTACCCTGTTGTGGTCATTTTTAGCTTGTCCCTTTGATCACTGGTAGAGGCCACCTGTCTACTGTGAACTTCTTCAAGGCTCTTGAATAGTTAGTAAAGAATGTTACTATTATGGTAATAGGTTTCTGTATATGAACCTTATGTCTCTTATATTACTTGTTTATTGTGAATTGTCAGTGTATCAATGTTTCATATATGCTATTTTCCTGTGTGTTATGTAGTGTATAACTATAATGTATGGCCACAGTAGGATGTGGTATGTATGCTAATTGTGGATCCCAATAAACTCAACTCAATACTACATGACTTGATGATTTTACAATAACCAGTAAATTAAAAAAAAAAGAATGACTCACTCATCTGGCATAATTTCTGTGCTGTTTCATACTCTTCCTTCATGACTGACTCCAGGAACTGTAGAACATGGAAGCAGATTGGAAGGTTAGTTGGAACAAAGTATACATAAATTTTACATAAAACATCAAAACTAAACATCAAAACTAAACAAAAATCACATCAAGAACACATTTTTGTCCACTTATTTTTATGTACAGAGGGTGTGCACCAGGACTGATTCCTATTGTATTGGTAGCATTCTGTCACAGGAGGCTTCAATATTTCTGACTATACTAGTAGCTAGTTTTACCTGTGCTTACATGATTTCAGCATATTTTATCTTGCAATTGATTACTGTAATGGATCTTTTAGATTCAGTATGTATAAGATCTGATATCTACGCATTTTATCATGTACAACAAAAATGTCAAACCTCTCCTAACAGCTCGAATGGTGCCTTGATTTCCTCATCACTTTCATCATCATCATCGTCATCATCATCATCATCACTGTCATCACTCCCCTCTTCTTCCTCCTCCTCCTCTGGTCCAGTGGGCGGAGCCTGGGGAACTCCTGTCTCACCTGGGGCATTCTGGGAAGGATCTGCACTCTGCTGTATAGGGACTGAAAGTACAATTGATAGAAAAAAAGGATTGTAAATAGAAAGTAAGCTAATTTGAAAATCTTCTGGGTAGCATGCGTAGTCTGGTGATTAGTGACCCTGCCTCTGGACCAAGAGGTTGGGAGTTCGAATCCCGGCTGTTGTCTCTCACCCGACATGCATGCTACTGTAAAGGGTTGCAGTCCACTAGGCAGCTTTAGATGTTTGGCCAAGCCTATATTCCTGTCCTTTTTTTTCAATTCTACAGCTGCCCTTAAGTTTACAGAGTGACCTTTGCATTTTTGTAATAAGAATAAAGAAAATTTCCCAGTAAGTTTCTCACCATCTCTATTTGATTTTCCTTGAGATGTATCTCTGCATTCTCTCCTCCTCCCTTCTTCCAACTCCAACCTCTCCACCCTCTGCCTCATTTCTTCCTCCTCTCCATCCATTGGATCAATCTCTCCTTCTATCCCACCAGAGGCACAAGTATCTGTATGTACAGGATGGACTGTCTCTTGTGTTCTGTTGGGCAGTGTTGGAGAAGATTCTCTCTTTGGAGTGGGTAGCAGAACACCATTGCTGGCAGGGATTGAAAAAAACAAATTACAATTTCAATAATACTGGACAACAAAGGATCATGTAAAAGGAGGGCAAAAATGTTCCTGAAATTTTTGCACAGAACATTGTTCTTACATTGATGAAGGATAGACATCCAGGTTAACAATATTGAAAGACAATTCAAACTGTACGATACAATGGAGGTAACTTCTAAAAGTTTTGAGTGACATCCATTACTCTTCTTCAGTGTAATTAAAATGAACTGACAAAACTAGTCAACAGGTATCACATGTAAAGGAACTGATGAAAATGGCTGAATGTTCAGAATGTTGTTCTTAGATTTTACTATTTTATATGACCCACAGTCACACATTCATATCCTGTAAACTTAAGGTTCTATAAAGATCTGTGCTCACATTTCTGGGTTCTTCCTGGCCACCTGTAAGGACACCTGTTTGTTAGGTGTGTACGGTCTCCTGCCGCCGCTACCTTGTCTGGGTTCACCTGGTCTGGTCTCACCTGGACTGGTCTCACCTGGACTGTCCAACACTTCAAGCGCTGGGATTCAGATCAGATACAATGTCATCAGCCAGTGTCATCAGCCATGGGAACCCGATGCGTGAGGCAGTGGGAGAGAGCTGCGACTTATATATATATTGCCCTTCCCTACTAAGCACTGTGCCCCACAGTGCCCAACTCTTTAGGCAACTGTGTAACGTATGCTCTCCACCCCGCTGCCTCACGAGTCTGGTTCCCGGGATACAACAAAACAAAGCATGGCTTTTTCCTAGTCAGTATAGGTGCATGATATCAATACTGATTTAAGTTTGGGTACGTATTGTTTTAGCTTGGTATCCTACAACCTCTGGCCCATGTATGAAAGAATTATAATTTCTTAAAATTAAACTTACTACTATCAAATTTGTCTGTACCTTTAACTTCTTAAACAAAGCAAAGTGGCCTTCTGTCTGACTTGTTCCTACAATTAATCAAGAGTTACGAATTACCAGATCGTCTCCCTGATGATCCAGCACTGTTGGTTCTCCTCTCCCCCTCCTCTCTGCCTGATGACTTCAGGACCTCCAGACTGTTTCTCCTCATCTCTAGACTAAAACTCTGCACACACACAAAAGTACAAAAATGTATCATCTCTTCAATGGATTGAAGCTGAAATTGTTTATTCAGAGAACAGTAGTTGAAAGACTCACATTTATCTATTGTATCAAGGCTATTGATGTCTAATTTATGATTTAAAAAATACATTACAGTCAAGTTTGCTGATACATATTGATTTGAAATTAAAAGCAATGTCTTACCTTTGTGATGGATCTCCTGCCAGATGAAGGGGGTCTGGATAGAATAGTGGAAAAAAATGAAACAGAAAATTGAAGACATGATTTTGTTAGTGCAAGGTGTCTAGATCTGTATCTGTGTGTAAGGTGATTATACTAGAAAAATACACTGCACAGAATATCAGAGAAAATACTAGTAACAAAACTATTTCACAGTTTTAAAAACTAAAATATACACCTACAATTTACACATCTTCATAACTCTTAACAATCCAATACTTTTTATCATATATAAGTTGGGAAAAACAAATTAATTTGTCTTACCTTGCCGAGTCTGGTGACGCTGACCTACCGGGATCCAGAACTGTCATGGTGCCGGGGGTCCGGGCTCGGACTCCCGAAGCCATTTCTTCGGTACTTTATCTACAAGTAGCTGTGTCTTTCTTCCTGTTCACTCAATTACATGTAGTAACACTTGTTCGGGTGGGGAGGGGGGCAGCTTTGGAACTCCGCTCCGACGCACGAAAGATTTCTGCTTTGGAATGAAGCAATGACTACGTTCTGTCCAGACAGTAGAATAGATAGGGATGTGTTTTATGCACACGTAAGCCAAACAGAGAGAAAAATCGCTGCTTATTCAAGAAACCGGTGGAAACGGGACGCCAAAAATCACCATAGAAACCTGCATAAAATTTGAAGTTTCCTGTTTGGTCACGTGGTCGGCTAGAGAAAGCTAGCGACGTATTTGTGGTGCGATTCGCATGGATTCTGGTTTCATGACCAGTCAACAGCGGCATTTAGCGGAAAAAGTATAAAGTACATCCTCTTGAACGTTAGGTGATAGCACGCGGTGTGTGTGTGTAGGTTGGGTGTCCAAATGATGGAGACAATATTGAGAAATCACCATAGAGCTTAGATTTTGCACCCTTGGTCTGTTGTGCAATAAAAAAAAACATTTAACTTTACCTCCTATCCTGTCCTGATTGCTATTTCAAAAAAAGATAAGGAAAGACACAAAACCGCATAGACCTTGGACTCTGTAACTTTTCGTTGTTGTTGTTTTGTTCTGTTTTGTTTTTCAATTCTCCTGGACATCAGATGGCAGTGTTTTTAAGTGTTACGTTTCTCTCAAAAGTCGCATGCGGCGCTGCTGCACAACTCCCACTTTGCACTGCGCTGAAAGCATGTTTTCAATGCGCATCATCTTCTGCGCAGGTTTGGGAGGTCGCCTTCCCCTGCACAGCTGTGTACATTTCCTTAAAGACGGTGATTCCTCCTCCCTTCGGCCTTGGACGACATCTTCAAGAAGCGGGGACGACTCAAGGACAGTTCCTGCTTACGTTGCATCAAGTTGAGCCCGTCTGCGGCCTTGCACGGTGGAGAGCGAGCTCGTTTTGTGCGAGGGAAGCCCCCACGTCTGTACCAGGCCGTCATGATCTGTCTATTTCACTGTTGATTTCATCAACACGGCGCGAGCACACCTCGTTCCGTTTTCCGTCCGGGTTTTTTTTCCTCCCATCGCTGCCATCTTCCCACAGGTTGCTCGCCTGGCAGCATTCCTCAGGTGGTGCGAAGTGCCGAGGCAGATGCTTCCAGAACCGTGAACACTTCCTGTTCTTTCTCTCTCTCAGCTCGGCAAGAGGATATCTTCGCCCCCCAGAATTCATCCATCGCGTAAACTCCTGACTAATTAAATCTACCCGAGCCGTGGCGTTTTTAGAGCGGGGGATCGGCCAGGACTGCGCCGTCACCAACTCACTCACACACAGGTACACGCACGCACGCGCCACGGTTTGTTTTTATACCTCCCTCCAGCCATTCCACGCGTTATTTGGCTAAGTGCCCCCCATTGTTCCAGTATTGTTTTCCTAACATATTGTCCACACTTTCTAACCCACCTGATTGGCCCAGAGGTGAGAATGGGGGCTCACTAACTACAGACTGATGCAATAAAACACGGGCCGTGCCGCATCTTCACATCAGCCAATCACAGGCGAGCTACAGCCATATAAAGTTGTAACGCCGCGTGTAATAATTAAGGTTCGGACATGAGTACCAAAAGCGATACCTCGCCAGGTGCGGAGGGATGCGACCCACCGCCAACTCCGACGGTGAAGGAAAAGAAAACGTCGGTCCCCGCGTTCGATATAGGGAAGAAGACGTCCATCGGCGGAATGGACCCGGCCAAGAAACAAGTGACAGTCGCTGTGGACGGAAATAAGCCAAAGAAAACTGTGTCGAAGAAAAAGTCGGTCCCGGGAATGGTGAGCATGTTTCGCTTTTTTTATTTCACTTGTATGAAAAGATCGACAGGGATTGAAATTCGCACTCACGCAAGTCATTGTTTCTTTGTGAGACTAAGACGTAGAGACGGCACAGGTTATCTGATGAGAGGGGGCCTGCATGGGGGGATCAGGGAATTCAGGAATACTCCCCATTACGTTTTACGATAAATTCCGGGTAGCAACAACGTATCACGTTTAATCAAATTGGTGAATTACGCTCAACGCAAAATGCGCCAATTACGCTCTACGTCGAATTAGAGCTGTCCGTCTACACTCTTGAATTTAAATGGTCGAATACACTCTACGGAAAAGGACATGCGGCCCCTATGAGAAAGTAACAACTTCTGAAACTATATGTACTGCCTCGGCCACCTTACGTGGCCAAGTGTACGGCTTGCCTTCTAATCTAAAATAAAAACTCAGTGTTGACGGCAACCAGAAATATTGATGAGCAACCTAAGCTAATGTAGGCTACCTGAGAAAAAAGTGTTTCAAACTCTGACCAATAAACTGCGTGCACAACACGCCAGATTTGATCTCATTTGCGTCCGTGGGTCACGAATTGGATCTTCTATGGCCCGGGATATTCTCTGGTATACTATCCCTAAATATTTCGGCCAATTTCTACTATTTTTCCAGCGATCCGCGGTGCCTGGTAGAGGCTACATCCAAGGGACGGTCCGACCATTGTTGGCATTCAATTTTTTGTACATTTACACATACATACGATACAAACAATGAATAAATCAAAGTACTTCTTCACAAACATTTACAAACAACTATTTCAAGATTTTATTAAGAGGTTTCTCTTGAAGCTACAACTTTGTAACTAGTCTAATAATATCAAACAGAGAAACTTAATTTAGATGGTTTAAACTTTTCATTCATACTAGCTAATCAAAGAAAATATTCAATTTGAAAATGAAAGAAAGTAAAACATGACAATACCTCTTTGGCCATTTTTATAATAACTTATCCTTGTAAATCTGAAAGTTCAGATTTATCAGGACTTGTTGACTTCACACAGTTTTGTCCAAGATTATAATGGCTCAAGAAATAGGTCATCCAACATTCCTGGTGTCAGACCAATATCCTTTTTAATGTGAGAAGCTTGAGAAAGAAAATACCTAGAATTCATATGATAATACTTGCTTCAAATATAGATTTTACAACATAGATTAGAAGCTCAAAGGAGCATTATGTAACATATTTGCACGAAAAATTGAAATACACGTGTACAATTGAACAAACTCACTCACTCAAAGCATTGTGTGATTGTAAATTTGTAATTTACTTCCACTTTTCAAGACATTTGTGCAATTATGGTTTGACATTATGTTTGGTGCTAAAACAGCCCGCATGAGGCGCTCTCAGTTTTTGGTACCACCACAAACTACCAGAATGTAAACAAACATGGCTGACAGCTGTGTTTTCAACTTTTAAACACACTCAAAAGGCCTTGTATTTTGGCAGTCCTCCACTTTCCCTAAGAAATCACACTTGCAATGGGGTTGATTCAATTTACTTTATAAAAAAATGACCAGAAAATTTACTTTTTTTATCATCTTAATGTTACATAATGTAGCTTTAAAGATATGATACAGTATTTTCAAGAAAGAACAATAATCTCTTAGTGTAATTCAACAGTTAGTTTGAATGAGTGAAGAAGCTCTTTTAGCATCATGACAAATATTATAAGATTGTCACTTTTATATAATAACCATGTGAGTTGCCTCAACGTTTAGATCTGACGCCCTAGAAAATATCCCTCACGGCAAGATATAGATATAATTAGTCTGGGCTCACTACTTATAATATAAAAGCAGAAACATAACAGTTACATGCATCATGAATATTCAGGAAAAGGTACAAGGTGATGGAAGTTCTTTCTCACATTTGGATTTTACGTTTACTTCATGTCGTTTACTTTGTAATATTTGTTTGTTAGTTTTTAACAGGTGAATTTATTTATTGAAATCAAAATGAAATGAAAATTGAAATGAAAATAACCAAGATAAATTGAACTGCAAATCCTCTTCTCAGAATTCATTATTTAAGCTTTAAGATATTTTATTCTGAGCAGGAGCATGGTCCAATCAGAAACAGTGTTTCATCTTCTATAGATGACATCATCATGTTGCTATGGCAACATGCTTACACAACAGAGTGTTATTATCTTCCAGAAGTTCAGTATCATATTTGATTTATGATATATCTTTTATAATATTTGAGTTTTTGACAACAAAACTTTTCTGCTAAGACATTGTTTCTTCTGACTTCTGAGAACTACAAATGTAGAAATGCAATTCATGCCTTAAAAATTAGTTCTCAGAATATAATGATTATACATTACATAGTATGTAGTTATTCTATGGCCTAGTATGCCAAAAATTGATGGAGAAAAATTAGGATTTTGATCGTCTAGCATTGAGTTTACATTACTGATTGTGAATGACATTATGTACAACACTGGAGCAAAAATACTATATCAACAAAGTTTAATATCAAACTATTGAGAAGTGCTGTATTTTTGCTACCTCTGTGTACAGAGATTTCGTTTATCATAATGTTTATACATTACGTACAAATTAAGTACTGTTACTAGTGTTAGTTAAAAGTTTAAGGAGGGAATAACTTGGTGGAATGACAAAGGAACGGGGCATTTGGAATGCGACAGTGTCATTTTACCAATGCCAAGGGACATGAGTGTGTGTTTGGAAAGCATCAAATGACATTTTCTGTTGTTTTATTCTTCTGTAACCTTTCTTTATTCTGTAACTTAAAGGAGAAAATAGCTCTGAAATTCCCTGTATGTCTTAGCGGTAGTTTCATCTTCTTTTTTTACCCCTTGATTGAACATCTTTTCAGAACATCTTTTCAGAACTGAGCATAAATTACGCATACATGTCACATGTACCTGTGTACTGCTGCCCCCCCCCACACACACACACTCACAAACGCAAAAACATGTAACTTAGCTTGTAACACACTACAAAAATGTAAACATCACAAATTTTCAAGATTTTGAGAAAGAAAACAAAAAAGGTATATTTTGGAGTCTTGTATTTTAAGCCAAAGTGTGCAGGCCAAGATATTACACAAGCTTGATATGCATGGGAACACATGCAGATGTGGACACATGTAAATATTGTGATACAAAGATAATTGTGACCCTTCGTAATCAAGGCTATGTCTACATGGAGAAGCATTCCTCTGGGGCTCAATTTACACAATGAATTTTGCGACGTTTAACTACAGTAGAAATGTGTGGACTGGCAAAACGTTGAAATGAAACATTGCTAAATGAAAGGACTTTCACATATGAAATGTATATAATTTGAGGTGAAAAAAAAACATGAATTAAAATGACTTATGCTTCTCACAGCCTAATATTAACATAATGAGACAATTGCAAAAAAACACACTCTAAATATGTCGTGGAGGTATGAGATCTCCGAATTCTTGTTACAGAAGTGAAATGCTCTAATTTTACTGCAGGCATTGGTTATTGATGTAAGTAGCAATCATTTTTCCAAAAGTATGCTGAATGAAAAGAAAGTCTGACCTAAAAATAGAAGGCACACACTAATACTATACAAGTGTGCGTCACTAGACAATTGAACTTTGAAGTTACCTAATTTTCCCTGTGTTTTACTATTTCTACTTGAATCAATTCATGCTTTCTTTCTTGTGAAGT